CCAAAGCTGAGGTTATGTTTGCAAAGGCAAATGAAGTTCATAGTGTCACAAAATGAAAACCCACAGTAATTCAGGCACCCACAATGATTCTCACAACCCCACACGCGTTACAGTGTTTTTGTTATTTATAAAAACAACAGAATCATTATGTTGGTTTTAATATCTGCAGCTTTAGATTCACAGATTCATCCGTCCCTCTTGTTAGGAACACTTCTTGTTACTACAGAAAACTAGGTGGAAAAACAGGAATATTAAAACCAAAAATGTCAAAATTTAAATTTGCACCTTTGTGTCAGTCTGGGACAACTGTAGAGTGGCTTTGCTTGATTTGCAACTCAGGAACTTTGTATTTATCTTTTAAAAACGTTCAGTGATACAAAGTCAGACACAGTTCCTAAGTGACTGCTGTTATATTACTTAAAGTTTGTGGTTGTGAGTCTTCATGGAGGGTCCTTATAGATAAAGCAGCCTCAGGTTTCAGTTAGGGTGTGGATGAGGTTATGAAGACAGTTATGATGTCGCTGTTTTGACGCAACAACGTAAAATCTTCCCCGTCTTTTGGTGAACTCGTCTCAAAGAAAATAGCAGCAACTTCCCCTCGCAACCAAAAGACAAAACCTGGTTTAATTTTAATCATTTGATCAACATCTTCAAGTATTTCAGGGAGTAACAATCACTTCTGACTATGTTTCTATGTTAAGTTTTTTTTTTTTCCAGCAGAGAAATGCTCACCTCAGGTAAAGGTCTTAGTCTTAAATTCAGACTTTTAAGCACGTCTTTTTGTCAACTTTTAAAGCAACAGGCCGGCTCATCTTGAATGAGTGGGCCTCTGTGTTGATCATTGATCTCTGCAGTATTAGGAAAATATGTATGCACATGTTAAGGTTTAAATATTCAGCATTTAGAAGTCAAAATATGGTGCAAATCAGCATTTGCAGTAAGACTTGCATGTTGACTTGCAGTTTGCGTATAAAAAGTTTAAAATGAGTTTCACATGTCTTTTGTTTTTCCCCTGAAAAGTTGACATGCATCTCTGTACGTCACTGCTTATCTAAATGAGCCGTTCTTCTCGCTCTGTTCTTCACAGTGAAGCCGTCTCGTCTCTTGGGTGTGTGAGCGTTCTGTTTGACTCAACCTATAATTCAGTTGATGAAACAGCGCCATCAGTGCCCATCACTCGTCGAGTCAAACCCCCGCTGTCACTCTCCACGCAGCCTCACCCAATCTGGTTTCCACAGTAACGCTGTCTTGTAGCACTGTGTTGTGGAATCTTGTGAAGCTCTTCGTCAGAGCGTTGGTTGCTACACGGCAGCCTGCTCTCTGCCTCTGACCTCTGGCATTTGTTGTCAGCAGACCAGCAGATAGCTTTCACATCCTGTGAAGAAAATGTAGACTGATTCAGAGCTGAATGATGACATGGAGCAGTGAGAATGCTGACGAGCCCAAAGTTTCTTGCTCAACCATTTTCTGTCCACTGCACAGCTGTTTGGAGAGTGTACTTTTGCACGAGTGCATGTTTTCTACTTCATGTTTTCAAGCTTCTGGATGTACAGGACTTTTTTTCTATATTTAAACAACCGCAAAGATGTGAGTTCACAAATCCTACCACTGTCACTTCATTAGAAACCAAGTAGGGGAACAACAAGAGCACAGCCAGACATGGGTGTAACAGCCGGACAGTCATCGCCCCCATTGCTGCTCATCTTCTTCACACCCTTCCAGTACACAAACCAACCATTTTACCCTCCAACTTTCTACCTTCTCAGCGTTCTTTCCACCTCTCTATCACTTCACACGTACCAAAATCCCTCCCAAGGTTATTCCATCCAGCTGTGGGCATCTGGCTCTCACTTCCCAAAATGCTCGTGCGCAGTATGGTGAAGCCAGGGTGGAGAACCACACGTTAAAAATAAGCGCTCTCCAGGCTCCGCATGTGTGAAACTTGGAAACCCATTGCAGAGGCTTTTTTTAGTTTTGGAAAAAGTTGTAGACATGCACAAAAAGCTGTTTTTCTACCAATTATTCTCTGTTAGCCAGCCAAGAGAAAACACATCGCTAATTTGGCAAAGCTCTGGCAGCAGACTAACCAAACCCTTCAAATAAGAAACTAGACGAGTGTACCGGCACATGGTGAAGGTGCAGGTCAAAACCCTTGCTTACAGTCATTTCCAGTCTCTAAGCAGTGGCAAAATGCTGTTTACAATCTGATCGTATCTCTGCACAAATCTATGATTTTACTGTCAGTGGTCATGTTGCATTGTGCGTCATAGACAAGACATGCAGACAACATAGCTATAACAGGGCCTAAAAAACGTTTATTGTTGTCTCTCAGTAACTGGATGATATATTTCCAGAAACTCTCTTTTCATTTTTTTCTATGCCAGACAAAATTAAATCCCTTCAAATGATGCGCTTGAACTGAGAGGTTTCTGCAAGTCTGGTCTCTCTTTATTATCTGTAATTTTTGTCATTTTTGCTGGATTTTTTTTCATATCTTTATTGTCTTTTTGTTGGCTGCTGATGGATACTTCTGCTAGACGAGGAGTTTACTCAAGAGAAGAGCTCCTTTCATTGAGAAAAAGCAAATCTGGACAACAACGACATACAATTCCAGAGGACCAATGGTAGTGGACGGCTCCTACCCACAGCCTTCAGACTTTACAACTCTTTTATAAATAGTAGATGACTTTTAGAGACACGACAAATGAGACGACAGACAATTGAATTTCCCTTCAGGGATCAATAAAGTTGTTCTTATTCTTATCTGTTAGACGTACACAACTGTTGTTGATAAGACCTTCTTATTAACCAAAGTTACATTTGTGATTCCATGAAGCTTTGAATCTAGATTTGCCACTTCCAATGGATTTTCATAGACAGGAGCTGAATTTATTCAAACCATCAGGATTTCTGAGGTTTTTCTGCAGTAAAGCCAGTTCCAGGTCTGCAGGATTAACAGATCAAGTTTTCACTACACTCTGCTCCCAAGTACAAATCACTCACTGAGGATTAACAGAAACTCTGCTGAAAGTATCCAGAGTACAGATAGATCATTGCTGAAAAATGGATCTTATGTATTGAAAACAGAGGCAGAAAGAGAAGAAGAGATGGGTTAGTTTGATTTGATATAAAGCAGGCAGAGGTTTTAACAGAGACGGCTCATAAATCTGAGAGTGAGACCCAACAGCTCAGGAAATTAAGTCATACCCCAAATACACAATTCTAGCAGGAACTGGACGTCTCCTTTGTGCACAAATATTTATACATTCCTCTGCAGCTGATCCCTCCCTTTATTTCACGAGCCCACATATCATTGTATAACATCTGTGCATGGTAAAGTTACACATTTTTCTCTGCAGCCTCCAACTCTCCTGTGTTTTCATCCTCCACAGTTTGGCGCTGTTTCACAAGTGGAAAGTATGTGGAGACTTTTTCCACCCTACTGAGATTAGTGACTCAGTCGTACTCTCTTTTAAAAAAAACAAAGACAGTGTTTTTGCTGTTTTCTTCCCCTGTTTTCCCAAAACCATGTGTTTTACTTTTTAGTCCTCAATTACCACTCGTCCCAGTCGCCCATGTGACGGGAAATATTGCACCACAGTCTCTCACACAGTAGCTGTTCTGCAGAGCAGACCCCTCAGTACAGTCATGACATGAACACAACAGCACGCTGCGGTTGGCTTTATTATTTTTCCCGTTTGCTCGTTTTTATTGAAACATTTCATTTCTTGGTAGGGATATAAACTCCCCACATCATAACCCTACAAACCCTCACATACTGTAGATAACTGTAGTTGGCTGACCAACAACTGTCAGCCATGTTGTGTTTTTATTAGGCTATAAAACCTTAAGATCTCAAGAATACACAATATATTTGGTCTAATAAATGTCCTGAGTTTATTGTAAAAAATAAGTGCACACATTCTTGTACTTTGAACTCGGAAATATCAATTACATGCAAAAATATTAATGTGCTCATTAAAAAATGAGCTACTCCTGCAGAAATTCAGAGGGATCCAGTGAATCACACTCAGAGGCTTAGGAGGGTTTTAAGCACCATGAAGGATGGAGGGGCCTAGTTTTATTTATTTTTAAGGCACAAAATCCCTGGCAGCACATTATGGTTGATGCCTTAATGTATTTTAATCATACACTGTTTAATTGATGAATTTATGACGTTCAGGTCTTTTAGTTATTTTTTTAAAAGCTGGGATTCCTCAAATTCACAGATGCCAGATTAAAAATACTCACATCTTTATTTCTTCAGAGAACTGATCCGTCTTCTAAACAGGACACTACATCACCCACCATCTAAATAGAAAATCCTGTTTCTGCTGGGAGTCACACTGATGTTGAACACTGAAGCACCTCTCTGTGGAACCAGACAGATGTCAAATAGAGGGGGGGGGGGAACTCTGCTGATAGATGCAGAGCAGGGGAAAGGTAAAAAAGAGAGAGACTGTGGAAGCAGATGTGGATTTGGATAAGACCGTCTGAGGTGTTATTTACTGCTGATTCTAGCAGACACACATGCAAATACAAATGTGCTGAACTGGAATTTTAAAGGCGTTCAGCAGCTGTCATAATCCAATATTACCACTGCTGTTTTGTGATTTTGAGATAAAAGAGACTTTATCTGATTAGATTCATCAGGTGGAGGGGAATCTGTAAGACTAAACTTCTGTCATTGAAGCAACAGTACAGACTCACATTTATCAGTGCACGCTGTGGTGTCCTTCATGGTTGTTTATTCATGTAGCCCCTAAATTTTATCTCTCAATCACTATCAGGAATGTACTCGTGTGCCATTTAATCTTAAAATGTTTCAAAACCTCATACCTGAAGATTTATTTATTTGTTCTTTCCTTTGTGGCTTCTTGTCGAGTGACAGTATTGCTCACTCCCGGGCGGGTCATCCCAGCTCCAGTCAAAGCCCTCCCCCTCAGCAGTCTGCGGTGGGGTGTCCAGGTATAAAAGCTCTGCGCTCCCTTGTCCTCAGTCTGGTGCACCGGCTGCGAGGCGGCAGCGGGAACTGAAAATAAGGGACAGAAACAAGATCTCTCTAAGCTTAATTTCACTTCTACTCTCGCCTCTTGTGTGAACTTGCTTTGCCCTTTCATACTTTTCCTCGAAATCGTCGTTATTTTCACACAAGATGACTGGTAGCCCGCTGACAGGGTTGCTGGTTGCGCTCTGCCTAAGCAGCGCAGTGCACGGTTTGCCAAAGAAGACTAAAAGACAATCTGGCCAGTATCAGGTGTACCCTGAATTCCGCGATGCATCGGCTGTTTCTCCAGGTTGGTTATTGGACTTTGTCTTAAAAATGTTTTTATGAGTTTATTTTTTCGTGATGTGTTTACATTTAATTATGATTTATTTGTGGATTCGAGACTGAATTTTGTTGCGCACTGTGCCAAATAAAGCGAATTGAGATTATCTTCTTGTCATACGTGCCGAATAATTTTGTGCACAAATTCGCCCAATTTAAAAAAGTCAAATCAACTTTAAAGGACATTGTAAGGTCCAATACTGTTAATCTTGTGTTATAATACTCTCATTATATGATTTGTAGTGGGCTGTGAGGAAAACGGTCGCTCATACAGACTGTACGAGCAGTGGGAGAAACCCTACCTCGGTAGCACGCTGGTGTGCACCTGCAATGGAGCAGCAGGCATCAAGTGTAAAACTAAGCCTGAAGGTCAGTAAGAGACCAACCGGTTCAATGTTTAGAAATGTCTCTGCAGATCATTTCATTTTAGGCTTTCACAGCTGGAACCGAGAAAACTGGCTCGAGTTTGGGGGAGTTTTCTTGACTTGATTCAGATCTGAGTTACTTAAAAAACACAGTCGTTGTTTAAGGGACATCGACTTGTGCGTCTTTTACGCAGCAGAAAAAATGGACAAGACAGGTTCGCAGTAACTGCTTCGTGACCTTTCATCGTTTCCTTTGTTTTCCTTTCAGTGGAGGAGACCTGCTATGATAAGTACAATGACCGGACATACCGGGTAGGTGAAACTTACGAGAGACCAAAAGACGGGATGATGTGGGACTGCACCTGTATAGGTTCTGGTCGTGGGAAGATCAGCTGTACCATTGCAAGTGAGTAAACAGAAAACATTGAGTCCCTATAGATGAACTATGAAGTAAATTACGCTTAAATATCTAAAATAAGTAAATGACGGTGCATTTGTGATTCAGATCTAAGTATTTGTAGTTCTATTGAGTCATTTTTGGTAACATTTTGCAGAGTGTATTACAATTTTTTGGATCCAAACATGCTTTTGTATGAAAAACAATGATTATTTATAGCAAATCAAAGCAGTTAATGAAGAAGTTAAAATATTTAAGTGTTAAACACATGTTGTACCTCAGACTTTGCTCTTTAAATGAAAAACTGAACTTTTACATTTTAAACAACACAGATCGTTGTCATGAGGGTGGCAGGTCTTACAAAATCGGGGACACTTGGCAGAGGCCTCATGACACCGCCGACTACATGCTGGAGTGCGTGTGTCTCGGAAATGGCAAAGGAGAGTGGACCTGCAAACCTGTGGGTGAGTCATACAACTCAAACCTGTGGACTTGACCGGTTTTTCCACGATTTCAATACGAAACTGCGGAGACGGAGATAAATATCTCAATCTTAAACAGGCAAACTCACCTACACACACACACACACACACACACACACACACACACACACACACGAACACACACACACACACACACACACACACACACAAATGTTCTGTCGAGACAGCTTCTCAGAATGATGAAAGTACAAATATTTGGCCTCAGTGTGGACAAACACAGTGAGTGAGTCAGAGAGCACGTTTCTCCCTTTTATCCATTAGTTATTGATTTTCTCTTGGTTTGTTTCTCCTGTGATTGGCTGGTGAGATTTGGATGCAGCGACATGAAGTCTCTCTGCAATAAAGCCTCTCCTGTGTTGTTTTCTGTGCAGCTGAGCGTTGCTTTGATAACACCGTTGCATCATCATATGTGGTGGGTGAGACCTGGGAGAAACCGTACCAGGGCTGGATGATGCTGGACTGCACGTGTCTGGGAGAAGGAAATGGAAAAATTACATGCACCTCAAGAAGTAAGACAAACACAACTAATTACACCCATTACTATCACACATCTTCTTCATTGAAAGGTTTTAATGATCGTCGTACTCTTAATAGACCGCTGCAATGACCAGGACACTAGGAGGTCCCACCGTATTGGAGACACATGGACAAAGACGGACTCAAGTGGAAACATCCTGCAGTGTCAGTGCTTAGGAAACGGCCGTGGAGAGTGGAAGTGTGAGAGACACCAGGCAGGCAGAAGTGAGTCTTTTGTGTTTTACAAAATGATAACACTATCCTCTTTGTATTCACAGCTTCAATGTCCCTAAACTTGCTCACTCTGATTTGCAGCCATAAGCACCACAGGTACCGTCGCAGTGACCCCTCATACCCCTCAGGTGCTGCCTGAGGGGATGTGCCGCACAGACTCAGGAAACACCTACAACGATGGACAACGCTGGTTCAGACATCAGGGCAGCAAGCAGATGATCTGTACCTGTCTGGGCAATGGGGTCAGCTGTCAGGAGTATGGTGAGTTATGTCCCAAGACTGGAATAATCAACGATCAATTTGAGCACTTTTTAAAATTGCCCTGCCGCCTCTTCCTCTCTGTGCAGAGTCCGCAAACCTGGCATATGGAGGCAGCTCCAATGGTCAGCCGTGTACATTCCCATTTGTCTTCATGGGAAAGACCTACTACTCCTGCACCTCAGATGGACGCTCAGATGGACAGCTCTGGTGCTCCACAACCTCAGAATATGAGAGAGATCAGCTGTACTCTTTCTGTACTGAGAAGAACGGTGAGATTCACAGACACTAAATGTAGAAGTGAACGCATTTGTTGTTTCTCTTTTTTTTTTTTTAAACTTTACCCTCATACATCTACATTAAAAATCCATTGATGGTGCAACTATCACAGTCAACAAGTTCAGTGACAGGCCATTACTGTTATTTCTTCTTTTCTATTCCAGCTATCGTGGCAACAAGAGGTGGGAACTCCAACAATGCCCTCTGTCACTTCCCCTTCCTCTACAGCGGGCGCAACTACACTGACTGTACATCTGATGGACGCCGCGATGGCATGATATGGTGCGGTACCACGCATGACTACGACACAGACCAGCGCTTTGGATTCTGCCCCATGGCCGGTGAGTGTGTGTGTGTGTGTGTAAGAGCTGTTTTGATGGCGCAGTTATTTTCTAACCATATCGATCAAATGGGCCAGAGCATTAAGATAACAGTCTGATTTCTTCCTGATAAGAATTTCCAACATTTCTTTTAATTTTCTTGCACGTAATTCAACAAAGTATCATAATGTCAGTGAATTTCCATGCTCGAAGGAGTAGTTTGGCACAACTCTCTGGTCTCTGTTTTAGTGCCAACTGCTGCTTGGTCGCATGGGTCAGTTGTAGACAGTTAGGGGGTCAAATAACTTGATCTTAAAGTAGAAGAAGTTTGTTGCCATGGGAGAGTGAAAACTCTATCGGATTTGTTACATAACATCATTTGATGACAGATAAAGTGTCAAAATGGACAAAGTAAAATGCATGCTGCTAGGCTGCAATTGCGACTAGGGCTGGGCGATAAAAAGAAAACGACATACATCGTAAATTAATTTCCTTCAATATCAATATAAAACATGGTCAATATGCTTTTCGATAGTCGGCATTCTGTCATGTTTTGGTAGACTATACGAATTGCCAATAAAAAGGGGAGTCACTCCGGGTCTGCTGAACCAATCATGGGCTGAATTGGAACCAAGTAGCAAAAAACTGCTATGTCAAGTAAATGTTCTCACAAAGTTGGGGAATACCCCAAACCTTTTCACCACCTGAAGCAGTGGCCCCGAGTGGAGCAAGGAGCCCATGGCGCCTGTGCAGCCGAAACAGCCGACCATTCAGTCCACTTTCTTTACCGTAACGCCTTACGCCAAAACGTCAAAGAGACACAAAGACCTCACAGTTGCAGTATCTTATTGTATTGCAAAAGACATGCTACCAGAAAGCACTGTTAAATTTCATTTTTTATATCGTGATAAATATCAATATCGGCTGATGTGAAAAAAATTTACCGTGTTAAACTTTTTCCCATACCGCCCAGCCCTAAGTGTGGCTTGTTTTTAATCTCTGACTCTTTTTTCTTTTCGTAGCCCATGAGGAGCTCTGTACCACCAATGATGGAACAATGTACCGTGTTGGCGACAAGTGGGACAAACGTCATGACGTCATGGGTCACATGATGGAGTGCACATGCCTGGGAAATGGCCGTGGGGAGTGGAACTGTGTTGCTCACTCACAGCTGCGAGGTCAGAACACTTGATTTTCCCCTTAGAGTCCATTCAGTGAAATCTGGAATAAAAGCACTTTGTATTCATGTTGACGTTGATTTTTTCAACACCCAGATCAGTGTATTGTTGAGGGCTACACCTACGAAGTGAATCAGGAATTCTCCAAGCGCCACAATGAAGGCTACATGATGAACTGCACCTGCTATGGACAGGGGCGTGGACGCTGGAAGTGTGACGCTATCGGTGAGTTCTGGGCTTGTCGGCTCAGCATGTATTCATCATAATATTTTTCATCCAAGAGTCGCATCCCTGCCTGTCTCTCAACATCCAATCATCTCTTTATTTGTGTGTGTGATCGCCACATTAGATCAGTGTCAGGAACCACAAACCAGAGCATTCTATCAGATCGGAGATACCTGGGACAAAGCCATCCATGGGGTCCATTATCGCTGTTACTGCTATGGCAACGGGATTGGAGAGATGAGATGTGAGCCTCAGCAGGGCTTCCAAGGTAAGGAGAGAGAGATGAAATGTTCTCTGCTTCTATCCCTCAGTCTTCTCCTGGTTTCCCACCTGAGTCAGCTCACTGTAAAGGCTTACTTTGTGTTTAACTTCAAACATCTTCAGGTCATTCACCTCCCTTCCCTCACCTGCCTTTAACCTCTGTAACACGTCCCTGAAATTCAAGTTTACTTGTCATGTTAGCTGAGGGATTATGTTTTTTTTTCCCTCAGCTTTGAAGTCTGGAAAAAGGAGGAGAGTTGGCCCAACATATCCATCCTGTCTTTCTCTTTGTCTTTGTAGTAGGAGAGGTTTTTTCCTCCCCTGCTGACCCTCTCAAAGGTCAAGAGATGCTAGCCTTAGCTCTGAGGGTAGCTTTGAAAACACGCCCTACTTCCAAAATCGAACTCTAGCTGGGTAAAAGTTGCATAATGTGATACTTTGCACTAGAATCAAACATTAACCCAAAACGCTTCACTTGCAACATTTATCTTGCCATGACCCGTGCAGGGAAATGTACGAGTGTAGAGCAGGGATTGTGAGTCTACATGTGTGTGTTTGAAGGAGTACAGAGGCTAGATAATCTGTGATGAAAATAGTGCTCCTGTGTGATGCCAAACTGTCAGATGTTAGGAGGCGTTTGAGCTGGTTTAGCATCGTCTGGTGGTTTTGTTCTGTCTCAAAATCGTCTGACAGAGGTTCAGCGTAAAGCAGCCAACTCTCACCCACACGCTATAACCCCGCCATAATGCAAATCTTTGAGGATGTATGAGCTTTTTTCTCTTTTCAAATGGCATCTTTGTCCTTTATGTACTCCCCTCTGAACTCTCTCCTCCACTTTCTGTCTTCAGACGGCCACAGACCCGTCCAGGTGATCATCACAGAGGCAGGAAAGCAGCCAGACTCCCACCCCATTCAGTGGAACCCCCCCTCATCTGTGCACATCACCCAGTACATCCTCAAGTGGAGAATTGTGAGTTGAACTTTTTGTAATGCCAGTTACAAACCTCATTTTTGGGGTTGAGTTAGCTCCCGTTTTCTCCTCAAAGCAGTGTTTGAATATTTGCAGAGCGGCAGCATTACTAAAGGTGAGCAAACAGTCTGAATGAGGTCAGGCGCTTTTTTTTTTAAGGCTGACCGGAGTTTGAGTGTGGTCAAACAGGGTGATTAGAGGATGCATGAACTTTCTTTCATATCTGTCCACACTAAGTCACTGTTTTAAGTCCATTCCAATAAAAATATCCCCCTTACTGTGATTTTTTTTCCTCCTCACACATCCTTGTTTCTTTCAAGTCCCCAAAGACTGACAAGCTGGGTGAAATATTTATGAAACTTAATTAAAGTCAAACACAGATTCCCTCAGAAGGAGTTTGTATACTTTGGAGACTTGAAGCTTTCATCTTCCTCTCCTGCTGAGGAAGTTTGTAGTTTTCCTACAGCATGCAGAGCCACTCTAAATACCTCTGCAGCAGGATGTGTTAGGAGCACAAAGGTCTGAGCAAATGTACGGTCCAAAATACACAGGCTTACATAGTCAGGCCTCATTTTCTGGATGTATGCATGACTTTTCACATATTTTTATTCAACCACAGACTCTGTCACTTTAAGGACATTCCTGCAATATAGCCTTTGAGAATCTCATCAATAAAGATGACATAAAAATACAAATTAATGTCAATTCAAGGGTTGTAAAATAGCTTTTATTACTTTAAAAACTATTTATTACTGTAATATTTATTTATTTGCCCTCTCTTTTTTTAGGGGGAGAAAAGAATTGATTGGATATGTTGAATGTATGAACTGTAGTTAAACTGAACATGATCATTTATGTAGACAGGGCTGTGCCAATGAATTTATTTGTGCATTTACTTTTAATTATTATTATTATTATTCTAACAATTTTTTTTTTACTGTATGCATTGTATTTATATAGTCATAAACATTTTTGATACGTACGTGCATATATAATATACATATATACTGTATACATATATTTTTTCTTTTTTTTCTTCCTATGTTCATTTATACCAGAGGCCAAATCAACTAGTGTTACTATTCTTACTACTATAAATACTTTGTTTGCTGTTCCCCTTTCCCGAGATACAGACAAGAAGTAGAAAATTGAAAGAAAAAATATATGAGTAAGATTTTGATGCTGAGCAGACCAACAAACCTACCACACTACAGTACACTTTGGGTGTTATTTATTTATGTATGCACATATTTTTCCTTTTTCTTTTTCTGCTTTGTCCTGAATTCATTTGTATGTGTTAATATGACTTATGTTTGATCACATGAAAATAAAACTAAATATTATATATAAAAAAAAAAAAAAAAGGCATTCAGAGGCAGACAGAGTTTGGCTGTTAAAACAGTAATATAATCCGTGTAATGCTGATATTTGTGAGATTCTTCAATCTCTCTCTGTTTTGATGCTAAACTCATAAACCCTTCACCTCTGGTAGAAAAATAGCCGCGGCGCATGGAGAGAAGCCACCATCCCCGGCCACCTCAACTCCTACACCATCAGCGGGCTCCGTCCAGGCGTCACTTATGAGGGTCAGCTCATCAGCATTCTGCGCTACGGGCGCCGCGAGGTCACCCGCTTTGATTTCACCACCACTCATGGTTCCTGTGAGTAGACATTACTGGGGGCATTCGCTGCATGAATGTAGAGAAATATTCACTGAGTGATTATACATCATTTTATTTTTTTAGTGGAAACCTCAGAGGGAGAGACGACAGTGCCTCCTCCTGTTTTGGACACGTCTGAGTCTGTGACAGAAATCACTTCAAACAGCTTTGTTGTGTCCTGGACGTCGGCCTCTGATACCATCTCTGGCTTCAGGGTGGAGTATGAACTCAGCGAGGATGGAGCGAAGCCGAAAGTGCTGAGTGAGAACCCTTACACTTCCATAGTTCCTCTAAAATGTCAAATAAAATCACTCAAACAAATCTCAGATAGAATGTTTATTACCGCTATCTTCTATTAGTATCGTGTTGTAGATTTCCTGATTAAAAAAACAACTGAAACAAGTGTGTCTGTTTTGGGGCAAATTCAGCGTAATAAACACCCAGGGAGTCAAAATAGTTCAAAACACAAATGCAGAAATTCTTCTATAATCAATATTTCCAAGTCCTCTCACACCATTCCCTGAAGGTTTTCATCCTCTCATGTGTTTAAAATGATGTCCCATCTTCTTCTAGATCTTCCTCACTCGACCACCTCTGTCACGATCGGCGACCTCCTGCCAGGGCGCAGATACAACGTCAATGTTTATGAGCTTCCAGATCAGGGAGAGCCAAACCTCATTCTGACCACCTCTCAAACCACAGGTGAGACAATCCTTCTCTTTCACTAAGTTATCTTGGGATGATACACTACTTGTGATTTTATACCAAATGCAATATCCATGATTCTCTTTCTTTTCCTTCCCCCAGCTCCTGACAGTCCCGCTCAGCACGCGATCGAGGAGGTGAGAGAGAGCTCCATCAAGATCAGCTGGACCAGGCCTCAGGCTCCTATCACAGGTAAGAAACTTCTTTATTTATGAATGTTTCAGAGAGATCCATATTATTCTGTCTGTGTGTAACGTTAGATCTGCTTCTCGTCAGGTTACCGTGTGGTGTACACACCATCAGTGGAGGGAAGCAGCACAGAGCTGACTCTGCCAGACACGGAGACCTCAGTGAACCTTGTTGACCTTTTCCCTGGAGTTCTGTACAACATCAGCATCTACGCTGTGGAGGAGGACCAGGAGAGCGAGCCTGTGTTTGTACAGGTCAACACTGAAGGATCACCTCTACCAGGTCTGCATTTATACACAAAAAGAGCAACAAAACTTCTTTTGTTTGACAGAAATAAGCAAAGTTTGTTATTTCTATTTTCAAAAAAGCTGATTTATTTTTCTGAGATCTTCTTTGTCTTTTGGCTGATTTAAATTCACACTTTCAGCTAAAGACTCCTTATGGGGCTGCAAAGCTTTCAGAGAGGGTTCTGGTGTTTGGGAAAAACTGACCCTGTCAAAACAGAGCTTTGTCAAAATATACTTGCACAGACATATCTAAACCAGTTTGGTATTTTAAAGAGGCCTCTTGTCTTCTACGAGTCCTTGGTGGCCCATGAATGAACCCATTTTAATTCAAAGTGAGCTCAAGGCGAGAAACTTCTGTTTACATGTTTTGATAACATCTTCTATGTCTTTCCGTCCACAGAGGAGGTCCGTGCTCCCACAGATCTGCAGTTCTATGAGGTGTCAGATGTCAAGATCACCATCACCTGGACCGGTCCACCCAATGAGGTGACAGGTTACAAAGTGACCTACTCCCCGGTTGGTCCTGATGGCACTGAGACAAGACCCCTTCAGCTCCCCGTCTCACCAAGTGCATACGCCGATATCACCCATCTACACCCAGGGACGCTGTACCGCTTCTATATCTATGCCATCAATGCTGGAGTGGAGAGCACGCCACTGGTGGGAGAAAAGACAACCAGTGAGTGTCAGCATGGATGGAGGAATCAGAGTAACAATCATGGTATTACAAATAAACATGAAACGTGAGAGATTGTCTGTCTTATATTTGTTGTATGTCCTTACCCCCCGCAGAACCTGATTCACCCACCAACTTACAGTTCACCGACATTGGTCATGGCAGTGCCGTGGCCACCTGGGATGCTCCTCGTGCCATCGTCACCGGTTACCGTCTCTACTTGAGCATTGGGGGAAGTAGCCCCATCGAGAAGAGGATCCCAGGCAGGGTTACCCAGTTCCCACTGAGGAATTTGCGCCCGGACACCCAGTACACCGCCACCCTCCACTCTGAGCTGGACAATGAGCTGAGCGAGGGCATCACCACGTACTTCTCCACCAGTTAGTATTGAGAGACGCACAACACCAGCTGATAGCAGAATAACTTGAACCATGAGTTCACCCTCACTGTCTTTGTCCTCCTCTCAGCCCCCCAGATGGGAAATGCTCCTCCTTTCAGCACTGAGGTCACTGATACCTCCATCATCATCACCTGGGTGCCTGTCAGCAGGTTCAGCTACAAGGTACCAGCTACCATAGATTTTATTGTAACACTGAGTCTCTACATTCACTATTTGAACACACAATTAAAACACAGAAAACTGCTAGCAAAAGTTTTCCTTATTGTTACATAAAATTGCTCTCTGTCCACTAGTTGCATTAGAAAGCAAAAGTTTGACATATCTACAATGTCCATGTTAAGAAGCTATTAAATGTAGGTGGTGTGCCATATGTTTGCTGCCCCCCAGTGGCCAAAATATTTTAAATGACTGTGACTGTAACTTAAAAGTGTATCTCTGATCTTGCACGCACGTTTCTATTTTCTCAGGTGTCTGTGCTCCCCAGCCAGGAGGGCGAGTCTCCCAGGGAAGAGACTTCTGCCACTGGACGTATTTATTTCACGGATCTGTTCCCTGGAACTTCATACACCTACTCTGTGCAGCCCATCTTCAACGGACGCAACCGAGGGCAACCCATGACCCGCAATGTTTTCACTTGTGCGTACCTACTTTACATTATTATCACAGTGTTAAAAGACAAAGTCACTTTAAAGGTACAGTGTACTGAAATGGGATTATTTAGCTATATCAGATTCTTGATTTATGTGCTCCCTTACTTACCCACCTCCATGTGTCAAGCGGTGGTGGCGTTTTAGGACAAAAAGCTTGATGCATGATAAGTCTGCTCCTAAATTAGTCAAGATTTTACCATAAAAAAAAATTTCATTTAAACGCAGCACTTTGCAAAGCTACTTTCTAAATACAAAAATACATATTTAACTAGTTTATCTGTTCTGGGCTGCTGCAGCTGTAGGAGATCTGCTCCTTATGTAGATATGAAAATATGATATAGTGATATGACACTTCTTTAAACAGCTTGTAAATGTTATTTTCCATTTCTACTACTTTTGCTTGAATATATACCCTACTCTATACCTTGAACTGTGAATTTCTTCACTCTTTACACATCAGCCTTATGTAACTGATCAGTAGATTGATTTATTACTGTTGTAGGCTCACACAGCTCTGTTCTAACCATTTGACATAAAGTTGTGAAAGAAGTAACTGCTGCATCATATCAGGTTTCTCATACCTGTGTCATGGTTTGCTTTGCTCCTCTTCCAGCTCTTTCTCCTCCCACTGACCTTAGAGTTGAGTCCACCCCGGACACAGGAGATCTGACTGTCCACTGGGTCGCCTCCAAAACACCAGGTAAATATTGACTGTGCTCCCCACGCACTGTCAGCACACTGGATCACGCCGAGTCTAGACCTTGGCCTACAAATGGCGGGGACAAACGTCTCTTCCTGGTATCTCCTTCGTGTTCCTCAAAGTGACTCACAAATTACGGAAAAAAAACTCTCAGCATTGCATTATTTTTACACAGTGTTTGTCATGTTTGCCAACTCTTTCCAGGCATCACAGGCTACAGAGTGACAAGCACGCCCGTCAATGGCCAGCGAGGAAATTCTCTGGAGGAGCTGGTCCGAGCCGATCAAACCTCAGTCAGGCTAGAGAGCCTGAACCCTGGGGCTGAGTACAACATCAGTGTCTTCACCAATAAGGGCCATTTGGAGAGTGCACCTGTGTCCACTGTTGTCACACCAGGTATGAGCAACTGTGGCAGCATTTACACCTGATTTAAGGCATCAAACCCACATCTGTGGTCTCACAAAAACCGGGAGTGAAGGCCAAGTCTAAGTTTTCCAGTCAAACTCTTTCGGTTTAAGAACTGGCACAGTCTTACTTGAAGTAAGAACTGAGATGTTTCAAAAAAAAGTTTTTCTTCAAGCTGCGTAAAAAGATTTTGTCCACAAGAGGCAGAATACTTTACAAACCTGGTTTCTACAGCAAGCCCTTGGAAATGTATTCCGATCTTCAGTACACACACACAGCAAATAACAGCAGCTTTATCCAACAAAAAAGTAACAGCTAAAATAAGCTAAAAATCCTACAAAGGTTCTTAATTTCCATGCTTTTTATTAATTATAGCAAAAAAATACCCTTCTGTTTCAAGTAGCATTAGCTCCCATAATCTTCTACTAACATAACTATGCATGGTTATTTGTGTTGGTGATGGGAATTGTTTTTGGAGCATGCTCAAAACAGTAGTAGTATGTAAATGGCTGTTTTTTTCATAAACTTAATTTGAACCTCTTTTTGACCTTTGACCATAATTGTCTCTATCCAGCATGGCTACTGATTCACTGTGGGTTCATTCAGTCTTTTGGAAATGGAAAACAAACGTTTTGTGTTTCATTTAACCAATGTAATTATTGGTGCTTTTCAGTCTTGTTTCCTGTCTAATTTTGCTTGCGCTTTGCTAATGACCTAACCCTTTCAGAAATCCCCAAACCAAGTCGCATTGACTTTGTTGACATCACTGACACCACCATTGGCCTGCGCTGGATCCCAAAGAACTATACTGCTATTACCGCATACCGGATTACGGTAGTAGCTTCTGGCGAGAGCTTGCCAGTTTTTCAAGATATGGTGGAGGCGTCTGCTGGTTATTACACAATTCATGGTTTGGAGCCGGGCGTGGACTATGACATCAATATCTACACTGTTACAGAGGAGGGAGAGAGCAAGCCGACCACACATACAAAGCAAACACAATCTGGTGATTTAACACTTTGACTCATTTGCTGGGGAGGGGCTCGGGTTTTGATCTGTGAGGATTACTGAAAACACTTTAACTGATAGTCATCAAAATCCATAAAACACAATAAACATCAGAAATGTATTACAATAATTATAGTCTCCTCATCTCATTGTAAATCTACTTTATATTTAGTGTAGGTTTTGTTTTCTCCCCCTCCTTCTTCCAGTCATTCCGGCCCCAACAAACCTGCAGTTCAGTGGGGTGGGTCCAGACCACATAAGGGTGACTTGGACAGTCCCCAATGTTGCCACGCCAACTGACATCTCCCGCTTTGTCATCCGTTACCATCCTGTCGCCACAGATGATGACATTAGAGAGGTTAATGTTGGCGGAGCAACCAACACGTTCCTGCTGCAGAGTAAGAAAAGTCTTTTTGTTTTAAAGCATCTTTTAGACAATACGTTGAAGTATTTGTATCAAGTCATTTGAGGACATTCATACTGTTAACTTATTTCTTGATCTCCATTATAGACCTGCTGCCCAACACAGAGTACAGCATCAGTGTTGTGTGTGTGTACGGAGAACGAGAGAGTCAACCAGCTACAGGAACTCAGAGGACAAGTAAGTATTATGGTGGTTTCCACAGAGGATGCCTTAATGCAGTGTTTCAGGTACATTAAGACAGGATTGTGACTTTTTTTTTAACCATTTAAACTAAATGATGCTGTTTCTCATAAAAAATAAAGCAGTGTTAATGAACAAACTGGTAACACTCTACAATAACCATAATTTATAAATGGTAAAAAGATAGTTTATTACTGTTTAATCATCATTTAAAAACAGCATATAGATCAATTATAAATGGTGAATAGATAGTTTATTAATGTAAGTTAATAGTTGCTTTACCATGAACAAGCAATGAAATTATAATTATTAATGGACAATTTATTGAAGGTTTATATAGGGTTTAAAATGTATGTCAGTAGCACTTCTTAAAAGGTTAATATTTGGTTTTCAAACCATCTGTAAACATTACTTAATTATTGAAAAGTTGCAACTGAGGTTTGTAATACTTTGTGAATGATTTATAAGTGGCTTATAATCCACCTATGCACATTACCTAGCTAGTTATTGTAAAGTTAGGGTTAGGGTTAGGGTAAGGGTTGCATCTAGGGTTAGGGTTAGGATTGGGTTAGGGTTAGGGTTAGGGTTAGGGTTAGGGTTGGAGCTAGGGTTAGGGTTAGGGTTAGGGTTGCAGCTAGGGTTAGGGTTAGGGTTGGAGCCAGGGTTAGGGTTAGAGTTAGGGTTAGGGTTGCAGCTAGGTTTAAGGTTAGGGTTGGGTTAGGGTTAGGGTTGGGGTTGGAGAAAGGGTTAGGGTTAGGGTTGCAGCTAGTGTTAGGGTTGCAGCTAGGGTTAGGGTTAGGGTTAGGGTTAGGGTTGGAGCTATGGTTAGGGTTAGGGTTGTAGCTAGGGTTAGGGTTAGGGTTAGGGTTGGAGCTAGGGTTAGGGTTAGGGTTGCAGCTAGGGTTAGGGTTTGGTTTGGGTTAGGGTTGGAGCTAGGGTTAGGGTTAGGGTTGGAGCTAGGGTTAGGGTTAGGGTTGCAGCTAGGGTTAGGGTTGGGTTAGGGTTGGAGCTAGGGTTAGGGTTAGGGTTGGAGCAAGGGTTAGGGTTAGGGTTGCAGCTAGGGTTAGGGTTAGGGTTGGAGCTAGGGTTAGGGTTAGGGTTGCTGCTAGGGTTAGGTTTAGGTTAGGGTTGCAGCTAGGGATAGGGTTAGGGTTAGGGTTAGGGTCAGGGTTGGGGTTAGAGCTAGGGTTAGGGTTAGGGTTAGGGTTGCAGCTAGGGTTAGGGTTGCAGCTAGGGTTAGGGTTGCAGCTAGGGTTAGGGTTAGGGTTGCAGCTAGGGTTAGGGTCAGGGTTAGGGTTGGAGATAGTGTTAGGGTTAAGGTTAGGGTTGCAGCTAGCGTTAGGGTTAGGGTTAGGGTTAGGGTTGCAGCTAGGGTTAGGGTTAGGTTTGCAGCTAGGGTTAGGGTTAGGGTTGCAGCTAGGGTTCGGGTTAGGGTTGGAGCTAGGGTTAGGGTTAGGGTTGCAGCTAGGGTTAGAGTTGCCGCTAGGGTTAGGGTTAGGGTTAGGGTTGCAGCTAGGGTTAGGGTTAGGGTTGGAGCTAGGGTTAGGGTTGGAGCTAGGGTTGCAGCTAAGGTTAGGGTTAGGGTTGGGTTAGGGTCAGGGTTGGAGCTAGGGTTAGGGTTAGGGTTAGGGTTGGAGCTAGGGTTAGGGTTAGGGCTGGAGCTAGGGTTAGGGTTAGGGTTTCAGCTAGGGTTAGGGTTAGGGTTGGGTTGGGGCTATGGTTAGGGTTAGGGTTAGGGTTACAGCTAGGGTTAGGGTTGGAGTTAGGGTTAGGGTTGGAGCTAGGGTTAGGGTTAGGGTTGCAGCTAGGGTTAGGGTTGCAGCTAGGGTTAGGGTTAGGGTTAGGGTTAGGGTTGCAGCTAGGGTTAGGGTTGCAGCTAGGGTTAGGGTTAGGGTTAGGGTTGCAGCTAGCGTTAGGGTTAGGGTTGGAGCTAGGGTTAGGGTTAGGGTTGCAGCTAGGGTTAGGGTTAGGTTTAGGGTTGCAGCTAGGGTTAGGGTTGGGTTAGGGTTAGGGTTGGGGTTAGGGTTAGGGTTGCAGCTAGGGTTAGGGTTAGGGCTAGGGTTGCAGCTAGGGTTAGGGTTAGGGTTGGAGCTAGGGTTAGGGTTAGGGTTGCAGCTAGGGTTAGGGTTAGGGTGTGAGCTAGGGTTAGGGTTAGGGTTGCAGCTAGGGTTAGGGTTAGGGTTAGGGTTGGAGCTAGGGTTAGGGTTAGGGTTACAGATAGGGTTAGGGTTAGGGTTGGAGTTAGGGTTAGGGTTAGGGTTACAGATAGGGTTAGGGTTGCAGCTAGGGTTAGGGTTAGGGTTGGAGCTAGGGTTAGGGTTAGGGTTGCAGCTAGGGTTAGGGTTAGGTTTGGAGCTAGGGTTAGGGTTAGGGTTAGGGTTGGAGCCAGGGTTGGGGTTAGGGTTGGAGCTAGGGTTAGGGTTAGGGTTAGGGTTGCAGCTAGGGTTAGGGTTTGGGTTGGAGCTATGGTCAGGGTTAGGGTTAGGGTTACAGCCAGGGTTAGGGTTACAGCTAGGGTTAGGGTTAGGGTTGGAGTTAGGGTTAGGGTTAGGGTTGGAGCTAGGGTTAGGGTTAGGGTCAGGGTTGCAGCTAGGGTTAGGGTTGCAGCTAGTGTTGTTAGGGTTAGGGTTGGAGCTAGGGTTAGGGTTGGAGCTAGGGTTGCAGCTAAGGTTAGGGTTAGGGTTGGGTTAGGGTTAGGGTTGGAGCTAGGGTTAGGGTTAGGGTTAGGGTTGGAGCTAGGGTTAGGGTTAGGGCTGGAGCTAGGGTTAGGGTTAGGGTTTCAGCTAGGGTTAGGGTTAGGGTTGGGTTGGGGCTATGGTTAGGGTTAGGGTTAGGGTTACAGCTAGGGTTAGGGTTGGAGTTAGGGTTAGGGTTGGAGCTAGGGTTAGGGTTAGGGTTGCAGCTAGGGTTAGGGTTGCAGCTAGGGTTAGGGTTAGGGTTAGGGTTAGGGTTGCAGCTAGGGTTAGGGTTGCAGCTAGGGTTAGGGTTAGGGTTAGGGTTGCAGCTAGCGTTAGGGTTAGGGTTGGAGCTAGGGTTAGGGTTAGGGTTGCAGCTAGGGTTAGGGTTAGGTTTAGGGTTGCAGCTAGGGTTAGGGTTGGGTTAGGGTTAGGGTTGGGGTTAGGGTTAGGGTTGCAGCTAGGGTTAGGGTTAGGGCTAGGGTTGCAGCTAGGGTTAGGGTTAGGGTTGGAGCTAGGGTTAGGGTTAGGGTTGCAGCTAGGGTTAGGGTTAGGGTGTGAGCTAGGGTTAGGGTTAGGGTTGCAGCTAGGGTTAGGGTTAGGGTTAGGGTTGGAGCTAGGGTTAGGGTTAGGGTTACAGATAGGGTTAGGGTTAGGGTTGGAGTTAGGGTTAGGGTTAGGGTTACAGATAGGGTTAGGGTTGCAGCTAGGGTTAGGGTTAGGGTTGGAGCTAGGGTTAGGGTTAGGGTTGGAGTTAGGGTTAGGGTTAGGGTTGCAGCTAGGGTAAGGGTTAGGGTTTGGGTTGGAGCTATGGTTAGGGTTAGGGTTAGGGTTACAGCTAGGGTTAGGGTTAGGGTTGGAGTTAGGGTTAGGTTTAGGGTTGGAGCTAGGGTTAGGGTTAGGGTCAGGGTTGCAGCTAGGGTTAGGGTTGCAGCTAGGGTTAGGGTTAGGGTTAGGGTTGGAGCTAGGGTAAGGGGTTAGGGTTAGGGTTGCAGCTAAGGTTAGGGTTAGGGTTGGGTTAGGGTTAGGGTTGGAGCTAGGGTCAGGGTTAGGGTTAGGGTTGGAGCTAGGGTTACGGTTAGGGTTGGAGCTAGGGTTAGGGTTAGGGTTGCAGCTAGGGTTAGGGTTAGGGTTGGAGCTAGGGTTAGGGTTAGGGTTAGGGTTGCAGCTAGGGTTAGGTTTGGGTTAGGGTTAGGTTTGGAGCTAGGGTTAGGGTTAGGGTTAGGGTTGGAGCCAGGGTTAGGGTTAGGGTTGGAGCTAGGGTTAGGGTTAGGGTTGCAGCTAGGGTTAGGGTTTGGGTTGGAGCTATAGTCAGGGTTAGGGTTAGGGTTACAGCTAGGGTTAGGGTTAGGGTTGGAGTTAGGGTTAGGGTTAGGGTTGGAGCTTGGGTTAGGGTTAGGGTCAGGGTTGCAGCTAGGGTTAGGGTTGCAGCTAGTGTTAAGGTTAGGGTTAGGGTTGGAGCTAGGGTTAGGGTTAGGGTTGCAGCTAAGGTTAGGGTTAGGTTAGGGTTAGGGTTGGAGCTAGGGTTAGGGTTAGGGCTGGAGCTAGGGTTAGGGTTAGGGTTTCAGCTAGGGTTAGGGTTAGGGTTGGGTTGGAGCTATGGTTAGGGTTAGGGTTAGGGTTACAGCTACGGTTAGGGTTGGAGTTAGGGTTAGGGTTAGGGTTGGAGCTAGGGTTAGGGTTAGGGTTGCAGCTAGGGTTAGGGTTGCAGCTAGGGTTAGGGTTAGGGTTGGTGCTAGGGTTAGGGTTAGGGTTAGGGTTGCTGCTAGGGTTAGGGTTAGGGTTGCAGCTAGCGTTAGGGTTAGGGTTGCAGCTAGGGTTAGGGTTGCAGCTAGGGTTAGGGTTAGGTTTAGGGTTGCAGCTAGGGTTAGGGTTAGGGTTGGTTTAGGGCTAGGGTTGGGGTTAGGGTTAGGGTTGCAGCTAGAGTTAGGGTTAGGGTTAGGGTTGCAGCTAGGGTTAGGGTTAGGGTTGGAGCTAGGTTAAGGGTTAGGGTTAGGGTTGCAGCTAGGGTTAGGGTTAGGGTTAGGGTGTGAGCTAGGGTTAGGGTTAGGGTTAGGGTTGCAGCTAGGGTTAGGGTTAGGGTGTGAGCTAGGGTTAGGGTTAGGGTGTGAGCTAGGGTTAGGGTTAGGGTTAGGGTTGGAGCTAGGATTAGGGTTGCAGCTAGTGTTAAGGTTAGGGTTAGGGTTGGAGCTAGGGTTAGGGTTGCAGCTAGGGTTAGGGTTAGGGTTGCAGCTAGGGTTAGGGTTGCAGCTAGGGTTAGGGTTAGGGTTAGGGTTGCAGCTAGGGTTAGGGTTGCAGCTAGGGTTAGGGTTAGGGTTAGGGTTAGGGTTGCAGCTAGCGTTAGGGTTAGGGTTGGAGCTAGGGTTAGGGTTAGGGTTGCAGCTAGGGTTAGGGTTAGGTTTAGGGTTGCAGCTAGGGTTAGGGTTAGGGTTGGGTTAGGGTTAGGGTTGGGGTTAGGGTTAGGGTTGCAGCTAGGGTTAGGGTTAGGGTTAGGGTTGCAGCTAGGGTTAGGGTTAGGGTTGGAGCTAGGGTTAGGGTTAGGGTTGCAGCTAGGGTTAGGGTTAGGGTTAGGGTGTGAGCTAGGGTTAGGGTTAGGGTTGCAGCCAGGGTTAGGGTTAGGGTTAGGGTTGCAGATAGGGTTAGGGTTAGGGTTGGAGTTAGGGTTAGGGTTAGGGTTACAGATAGGGTTAGGGTTGCAGCTAGGGTTAGGGTTAGGGTTAGGGTTAGGGTTGGAGCTAGGGTTAGGGTTAGGGTTGGAGTTAGGGTTAGGGTTAGGGTTGCAGCTAGGGTTAGGGTTAGGGTTTGGGTTGGAGCTATGGTTAGGGTTAGGGTTAGGGTTACAGCTAGGGTTAGGGTTAGGGTTGGAGTTAGGGTTAGGTTTAGGGTTGGAGCTAGGGTTAGGGTTAGGGTCAGGGTTGCAGCTAGGGTTAGGGTTGCAGCTAGGGTTAGGGTTAGGGTTAGGGTTGGAGCTAGGGTAAGGGGTTAGGGTTGCAGCTAAGGTTAGGGTTAGGGTTGGAGCTAGGGTTAGGGTTAGGGTTAGGGTTGCAGCTAGGGTTAGGGTTGGGTTAGGGTTAGGTTTGGAGCTAGGGTTAGGGTTAGGGTTAGGGTTGGAGCCAGGGTTAGGGTTAGGGTTGGAGCTAGGGTTAGGGTTAGGGTTAGGGTTGCAGCTAGGGTTAGGGTTTGGGTTGGAGCTATAGTCAGGGTTAGAGTTAGGGTTACAGCTAGGGTTAGGGTTAGGGTTGGAGTTAGGGTTAGGGTTAGGGTTGGAGCTTGGGTTAGGGTTAGGGTCAGGGTTGCAGCTAGGGTTAGGGTTGCAGCTAGTGTTAAGGTTAGGGTTAGGGTTGGAGCTAGGGTTAGGGTTAGGGTTAGGGTTGCAGCTAAGGTTATGGTTAGGTTAGGGTTAGGGTTGGAGCTAGGGTTAGGGTTAGGGCTGGAGCTAGGGATAGGGTTAGGGTTTCAGCTAGGGTTAGGGTTAGGGTTGGGTTGGAGCTATGGTTAGGGTTAGGGTTAGGGTTACATCTAGGGTTAGGGTTGGAGTTAGGGTTAGGGTTAGGGTTGGAGCTAGGGTTAGGGTTAGGGTTGCAGCTAGGGTTAGGGTTGCAGCTAGGGTTAGGGTTAGGGTTAGGGTTGGTGCTAGGGTTAGGGTTAGGGTTAGGGTTAGGGTTGCTGCTAGGGTTAGGGTTAGGGTTGCAGCTAGCATTAGGGTTAGGGTTGGAGCTAGGGTTAGGGTTAGGGTTGCAGCTAGGGTTAGGGTTAGGTTTAGGGTTGCAGCTAGGGTTAGGGTTGGGTTAGGGCTAGGGTTGGGGTTAGGGTTAGGGTTGCAGCTAGAGTTAGGGTTAGGGTTAGGGTTGCAGCTAGGGTTAGGGTTAGGGTTGGAGCTAGGTTAAGGGTTAGGGTTAGGGTTGCAGCTAGGGTTAGGGTTAGGGTGTGAGCTAGGGTTAGGGTTAGGGTGTGAGCTAGGGTTAGGGTTAGGGTTAGGGTTGGAGCTAGGATTAGGGTTGCAGCTAGTGTTAAGGTTAGGGTTAGGGTTGGAGCTAGGGTTAGGGTTGCAGCTAGGGTTAGGGTTAGGGTTGGGTTAGGATTAGGGTTGGAGCTAGGGTTAGGGTTAGGGTTAGGGTTGCAGCTAGGGTTAGGGTTGCAGCTAGTGTTAAGGTTAGGGTTAGGGTTGGAGCTAGGGTTAGGGTTACAGATAGTTTTAGGATTAGGGTTGGAGTTAGGGTTAGGGTTGGAGCTAGGGTTAGGGTTGCAGCTAGGGTTAGGGTTAGGGTTAGGGTTACAGCTAGGGTTAGGGTTACAGCTAGGGTTAGGGTTAGGGTTGGAGCTAGGGATAGGGTTAGGGTTAGGGTTAGGGTTGGAGCTAGGGTTGGAGCTAGGGTTAGGGTTAGGGTTAGGGTTGCAGCTAGGGTTAGGGTTGGGGTTGGGTTAGGGTTAGGGTTGGAGCTAGGGTTAGGGTTAGGGTTGCAGCTAGGGTTAGGGTTGCAGCTAGGGTTAGGGTTAGGGTTGCAGCTAGGGTTAGGGTTAGGGTTGGAGCTAGGGTTAGGGTTAGGGTTGCAGCTAGCGTTAGGGTTGCAGATAGGGTTAGGGTTAGGGTTGCAGCTAGGGTTAGGGTTAGGGTTGCAGCTAGGGTTAGGGTTAGGGTTGGGTTAGGGTTAGGGTTGCAGCTAGGGTTAGGGTTGCAGCTAAGGTTAGGGTTAGGGTTGCAGCTAGGGTTAGGGTTAGGGTTGGAGCTAGGGTTAGGGTTAGGGTTAGAGCTAGGGTTAGGGTTAGGGTTGCAGCTAGGGTTAGGGTTGGAGCAAGGGTTAGGGTTAGGGTTAGGGTTAGGGTTGCAACTAGGGTTAGGGTTGGAGCAATGGTTAGGGTTGCAGCTAGGGTTAGGGAAAGGGTTAGGGTTGCAGTTATGGTTAGGGTTAGGGTTAGGTGTTAAGTTTCACTTAACATGAGTTTAGTGAAAAAACTTAAATCAGTCAACCTTCAGAGATTTAAAATACCTGATAAATATGCCAAAAAGCTGCAGCTGAGTTTGTTGACATGACTGCTCTGCTTTTAGGATACTAAAAATGGATAGAAAACTGATACACTACTTGCATTTCAGCTCTGGACTCCCCCACTGGCATGGACTTCTCCGACATTCGCACCACCTCCTTCACCATTCACTGGCTGGCTCCAACTGCTCCTATCACCGGCTACCGCGTCCGCTATCAGGCAACGAGCGGTGGGCGGGCCAAGGATGAGAGACTTCCCCCAAGCAGGACTTACTACACTTTGACTGGACTGACACCAGAGACGGAGTATTTGATATATGTGTATGCTGTCAGCAACAACCAGGAGAGTCAGCCTCTGACGGGAACACAGGCCACCAGTAAGTTTCTTCACTGGTTTCTGCTTTTTTTCTCATCGCTTCCACCACAGTTTCTTAGATTTTTATGAAAATGCTCTTTCCTCTCCTTTTTTAATCCTCTCCAGTCTCTGATGCCCCTACTGACCTGGAGGTCGTATCATCCACCCCTACCAGCATCACCATCCGCTGGGACGCCCCCTCTGTCTCAGTGAAAAACTACAAGATCACCTATGGTAGCTCAGGTTTGTACATGTTTTTTTTATTTCTATTGTTTAGTTTGAGCCAAAGCTCAAAGTTGTGAATTTAACACTGAGCCTCTCTTATTTTCTTTCTAGGTGGTGCGACTCAAGAGTTCACAATCCCCGGCACTCAGACCACCGCCACTATCACTGGTCTGAACCCCGGCACCGACTACACCATCACAGTTTATGCTGTTAGTGGGAGAGGAGACAGCCCGGCTTCCAACACCCCTGTTTACATCACACACAAGACTGGTACGGCAGTTTAGAAAGATAGCACTTAATTAAAAAAACACACACAGAAGGTTCAAATCTAAACCTTGTCACATGTTTGCCTTTTCCTCAGATACTGAGCCCCCCACTGACATGAGACTGACTGATGTAAGTGACAACGCCATCACGGTGCGTTGGACTCCTGCTCATGGACCAGTCAAAGGCTATAGAATCACCAGTGTCCCCAAGAGCGGATTGGGACCTTACTACTCTGAGGTGGTGGCCCCAGGTAAGACAGACCAAGAGAGATTATAAAAACAGCTGTCCCTTATGTTAGGAATAAGAAGAGCTTTATTTATTTATCTCCGAAGGGGAATTCAATAATGAAAATGATGTAAAATTGTTTTAATACTGTATTTATTATACTGTATGTGAATACCTCCTCTCACTGGTGCTTATTTGCTTCTCTGTTCCAGATCAGACAGAGTTCACCTTCACAGGTCTGTTGCCCACTGCTGAGTATGTAGTCAGTGTCTATGCTCTTGGACATGATGGACAGCCCTCTGCTCCGGTGGTGGAAAATGCTGTTACTGGTAAGTTTGAAGGCAACAGCAAAACTTTTTTCCTAGTTACAAGAGATAGAAGCAAAAAAAAATAATAAAGATGTTAGAGTTAAAAAAAGCACCTTGTCTTTTTCTTTTCCTGCAGCCATGGACCGTCCCAAAGACTTGACCTTCTCTGACATCGACTCCACCTCTATGCGGATCACCTGGGACAGTCCCGATGGCACAGTGACATCTTATCGCGTCCTGTACTCCAGCCCAGAAGAGGGCGAGAGAGAGCTGCGCCCAGCACCTAGAGGTGACCAGGACAGCGTGCTGATCAGAGGCCTTCGCCCCGGGACAGAGTACACTGTGAAAGTCATCGCCCTCCATGACCGCACACCCAGCAAACCGTTAGTGGGAACTCAGGCAACAGGTAAAAACACCACAGAGAGCGCTCACACATTTGTGTCTTTGTTCAAAAACTTTTTTCAGATAAAATTTTAAAAATGTTGATTGGCTATGTGCTTTTTCAGTGATCCCATCTCCAACCAACCTCATGATCTCAGAGGTCGGTCCCTCCACCTTCACTGTGTCATGGCGAGCCCCCAGCGCACGCCTGACAGGCTACCGTGTGGTCGTTACCCCTAAGAATATCAACGGACCAACAAAAGAGTTGAACGTCGCTCCTGACACCACGCGTGTTGTTGTACCAGGACTCATGGTAAAAAAAAAGTGATCCTGTCTCAGCGTTTAGTCTGATTCACTGTTGGTCAGTTTACAAACACAGCTGTATGTTTTGGTATCATAGGTGGCAACTGCATACCAGGTACATGTCTATGCTCTGAAGAACTCAGTCACCAGCAGACCACTGGTGGGAGAAGCGACCACAATGGAAGGTAAGCAGCTGCACTATTCATGGACATGTTTCTGGTCATCTCTGATGCTCTGTCTTAACTTTGTTCTCTTTCACAACCAATGCAGATGTCAGTTCTCCTCGGCGTGTGCGTATCTCTGATGTTAAAGACACTTCTCTCACACTGAGCTGGCGCTCCAAGGTGGAAACTATCACTGGTTATCTCATAGAGGCTATACCAAGTAGTGGCAACAACCCTACCATCAGCAAAACCATCCCAGCAGGCACCAACACCTACACTCTCACAGGTATTTTACCCATTTTTTATGATTTGGAAATAGTTTTTCTCATAAAGACTGATTGAAACTTTTCAGTTGTGCATCACTTGCTTGTTTTTCATTTTTCCCTCAGGTCTGCAGCCAGGAACCTCGTACACTATTAACCTGTACACCCTGAACGGCAACACAAGGAGCCCCCCATACACTCTCACGATTCAAACAGGTACAACACATCGTAAAGCTTAGAGAAGACTTTCCTTAACCATAAACAAGACAGAGAAGACATTATTTTTGTTTTGCAGATTTGATTTGAATTTCTCAAAAATGTTTCCCCTAAGTCAGATCTTTAAGAAATAACAGAACAAATGGCAGATGAGGCTTGAAAAGTTGATAAAGATCACTGCAAGCACCAGTTGATCTTACGTGATATTTTTCTCCACAGCTGCACCAGTGGTCCAGGCTCCAACCAACCTCCAGTTCACATCTTTGACCCCCACCTCCATCTCCTTCACCTGGCAGGCTCCTGCTACATCCATTACAGGTTACTACGTCACCTACGAGGAGTCAGGAAGAGGTCCAAGAGAGCTGATCCCACGACCCCACTCTGGCCAAAACTACGCCACCATATCTGGTATGAGATGAATGATAGGGGTTTCTGTCTGTGTTCCCTTTTTTGCTGTACAAGGCACACTTGTTGCTTGCTTTGATAACTTAGTTGTCTTATTTTTCTCCCAGTTTAATCTTAATTAAAATAAATTTTAAAAAGTCATCATAACTAACTAGATATTCCTCTCCTCAGGTCTGAAACCAGCCACAGAGTACATCATCAAGATTGTTGCCATTCAGAACACACAGAGGAGCACGCCTCTGGTGGGAAAAATCAGGACTCGTGAGTACTTAACCCCTTCTGCTCTGAACAGGTGTAAACAAGATGGTAAAAGTGACGTATATGATAATGTTACAATGTGTTTCTGCTCAGTGACTGGTAAGCAAATCAAAGATTTTTACGGTTAAATTTGCAGCTTTTTTCTGCTCGGCTGAGCCGTAAGTTACGCTGTTAAAGTCTACAAGCCATGAGATCAAATGTCCAGTCAATTGGCACCATTAGACTCCTAAAACAATAATATGCACACTTATTTTGAATGCCTTCAGATACGTCATTCAAAATATTTCTGTGTGTTTGTGATACTGCATGAAAACACACTTTGCCACAAAGTAGAATCCCAGCAATACTGCATATCTGTCGCCTCCTTCTGGCTGAGATATGTTATTGCAGCTGTGCTTTACCTCCCCACTCAGCTAACATGCTTGCTTCCCTAACCCATCTCTCCCGCCCAGACCCAGAATCCCTGCTCCCCCTGCCTCTGCCCCGCCCTGGAGGTGTAGGCGACAAACTGGATGTGCCTGAAATTGACCTGGAAAACACAGTCCATTTAGGGGGCACCACTGGCCAGGATGGGCTCGGTGGTCAGAGCCAGCATGTGGAGTACACAGAGTACAACAACAACAACAATGGAGACAACAGATACAGTGGGAACAGGGACAACAACCCACAGTATCCTTACGGGCAAGTACGTGAGCCCCTGGTCTTTGTGCCCCTTCCTGATGCAGAGGGCCGCAGGCTGCCCATCCTGAAGCTGAACCTGCCCATCGGCTCCATCCTACCAAATGACACTGGAGTGCCACAGGAGGCCCAAACTCAGACCACCATCTCCTGGAAGCCCTACAGACAGAGCAACGCCTACCTGGTGTCCTGCCATCCTCTCACACACCCACATGAGAAAATGTTCCAGGTAGGAAACAAGGACCATGATCAGTCTATTCCAACACTCTTGAATATCTGAATATCTGACCTCATGAATCTCCACATCTCCAGGTCCGCCTGCCAGACTCAGCCACCACTGCCACCCTGATAGGACTCACTCCTGGAGCCAACTATAATGTCATTGTTGAGGCTCTCTTGGGTGCACTTAAACACAAGATCCTGGAGCAGGTTGTCACCGCTGGAAACTCAGGTAAGAATCCTACAGCAGAAACACATCTGAATTCGATATTTAACAATACTGGCTGATCAAACTGAGTGAGTCTGGGTAGAGGAAAAGTATCCAGGGCAACTGGGAATCTCTACTCTCTGACTTCTTGGCAGCAAGAGGAGATGGCTCCATCAGTGTCTGAAAACCAGAACACAGAGTCACTGAATACCAAAACTTTCGACATAGCAGACAGAACTTTTCTTCAAATTAAATAAAGAGCAGTCCCAGAACTTCAAATTGCTTAATCTTCTTTTTGCTTTGTCTAGTCCCAAATGGAGTTCCCTCCAGTAAGGACTCATGCTATGATGCCTTCACTGCGACATACCACGATGTTGGTGCCGAATGGGAACGCATGTCTGAGACCGGCTTCAAGCTGTGGTGCAGGTGCCTTGGTCTGGGAAGCGGCCACTTCAGATGTGATTCATCCAGTGAGTCATTTAGGATATTTTATCCCTCTGTTGGACATGAACCTGTTTTTGATCATTTTTATTTGATTTGGTCTGACGATAATGTTGTCCATCCTCAGAGTGGTGCCATGACAACGGTATCAACTACCGTATTGGAGAGAAGTGGGACCGCCGTGCAGAAAACGGACACTTGATGAGCTGCACTTGTTTGGGAAATGGAAAAGGAGAATTCAAGTGTGAACCCCGTAAGGACTTCTGAGGACTCATGAATTTCTTAATAATGTGACACAGCTGTACAGAAATTTAAATATTTCTCCACCCACACAGATGAATCAGTGTGCTACGATGAAGGCAAAGCTTACCAGGTGGGAAACCAGTGGCAGAAGGAGTACCTGGGTGCCATCTGCACTTGCACTTGCTTTGGGGGACAGCAGGTACGACAAATGACACTCACTAGCTTTGATTGTATATAAAATATGATGCATGTATAAAAATGCTTCAATTAACAAATTCGTATGTTTTACCTCATCAGGGCTGGCGTTGCGAGAACTGCCGCAGACCAGGTACTGACGTTGATGCCAGTCTACTGCAGCCTGTCAGATATGGAGACCCTTTAATACGCAAGGTGAGCAGAATAAAACAATATTACATTTTTAAATTTATCTAAAATTCAAACATTTAGAATGTATGCAATTCTTTTTTCAACCATACAGTCTATGGTTCTAACTTATTCCCTTTTCCTCCAGAACATCCACTGTCCCATCGAGTGCCTCCGTCCTGAACTGCTGGCAGATGCACTCGCTGCTCAAAACCCTCGGGAGTAAAGGACCCGCCGTCTACTTTGTCTCCCTCACTGTCCAATGCTGCACTGTCTCACCCTGTAGAAGCCATGCTGTCTGCAACCAAACTGAACTGTCAGATGATTTTGACACGTATTTAGCTGAAGATTGAATGCATTAAGTGCCCTGCTGCCTGATCAAAGTGATCTTCTTTTGAAGCCAGTCCTTCACTGTTTAATGCTGTCCCTCTGTTAATTGTAAGCCCCCAAACCCTTGGTGCCTTCACAACAGGTGAATTACAAAAAAATATTTGTCAGATTCCGTTTCAGTGTCCAGAAACATTTCTTTTTTTCTGAAACTATCAAAAAGCAGCATTGTGTGTTGAAGAATGTCCATGTAGCTACACACAGTTGCTGAAATTGTCCATGAAAATGTGCTTTTCTTTCCTGTAGCCCTCCTGAAGGGTGGCACTGCGTGTGATGACACACTCTGATTTCTTACTTGTCTTTTACTAATTTATCCCTTTAATCTCATGGTGTGAATGTGTGAGCTGGGGTGTGAGAATATGAACTGTTCTATTTTTGTACTTTGTTGTCGGTGCCAAAGTTGTTTCTACCTTTGACAGAAATGAGTCCCTTATATTTTAATAAAGCTGGAGAGATCCTGAAACCTTCCCACCCAGTTGTCTTTTGGACTTTTGTCTACCGGAGTTTGTTACTTTTGTCGACACTGATTCAACCTGAAGCCTTTTTTTTTCTAGATTTAAGACCAGTTAGACTTTGTTACGGAAGCGTATTGCTGCCACACTAAATCTCTGCGCAACCAGCTACTGTATTAATTGTTGTTCAGGACTGCTCATGCACTTCCTACCTACCTGACAACCATAATACCCCTTGTTTTAGTAAACGCATAAACATTTTTTTTTACCTCATTTATGAAACATTACATTTTGGAACATTTGAGGGTAACGCTTTAGCTACAGACAGGTCATACAAAACGGCAACTGTCCCTGTAAATTGGGGACCCAACTTAAAGTATTAATTTAATTGTGTATACGAGTCGTATTCTTCATCTTATTTACCTCCTCTATCCTTCTACCTCTTGTCCGATTATCTTGTTATAACGTGAAAACATCTTATAATGACATAACGTGATTCTTATCACATACTTATCACCTTATTTCATAACCCTAAGCCTTTTTTTTTTTAAGTGTGGCAGCAATATGCTTCTGTAAAATTGTACCACCAAACTATCTTAAATGAAAATCTAAACTTAGTGTGTACTAAGACTTATTTTTGCATGCAGACATGATTACACCAAATCTAGCAGGCTAATGTTAAACAGCACACACTGTTGCTAAGGGTGTCACACAAAAATAATGCACGAAGACACCATCCCCAGAGAACAAAAGTTTGCAGTCTAGTTTTTAAATTATAATATATTAATGTCTAAATTAAAACCTGCTGGTAGAGTTGGAGAAAAAGTTGAGGACAGGCCAAATATAGAGGGGTTCAACTTCCAGCAAACATGAATTTTAGTCTTTATTTTTACAACAAACTGCCGCAAAATCTACCCACCCTGAGCAAATCATGACAAAAAACTCATCAGCTGTCAGTAAGGTTTTATTTCACACTGAAAAGTGAATGACCTATAATGCTAAGAACAGTGTCTGTATCTTTCTGATGCAAAGTACACGAGTCAGGAATGAAACTAATGTGTTACAAAACAGCCTGGCTGTGACCTCTACACTGCAGCATGATAAGGGGAGGAATGTTTTGAGTGTCAGTGAGGTTAGAAAGAGATTTAGACTCTAAACCGTTAGTGCAGTTTAAAGAACACCTGGACCAGAGCTGAGGTGTTCAGTGGTGGAAGAGCCGCAGGTTGGTGTGCACCAGAGTGATGCCCTGCTCATTACAGGCATTAATCACGACTGCGTCAGCAGCAGAGCCGGCTGGAGCTGCGATGTACTCAACACCACTCTACAGACACACAGAGAAAAGAAAGGTCAATAAATACATGTATGCTCGGACAGCTGGTCAGTAAATGGAGGTGTTCATAGTCAGGAGAGTTTCAAAACTAGCACCAGTATTTATGAACACAAATGGATTTGATCAGGTGTCTTCAGGTCATTCATGCTTTGCTGGAAGGTGTGCTAAATTTACCCGTTTGGCACGGTCAATGTTGTCTCTGAAGGGGAAGAAGGCGTCAGAGCTGACAGCCACGGCCTGCAGGGAGCTGATCCAGTTCTTCTTTTCAGTTGCTGACAGAGACTCTGGCACCTCATCATACATCGACTTCCAAACTGCCAAGTCTGGGCCCTGTCGTAACAAAATCAACACAATGTTGGTTTACAAATGTGCTGTGTATGGCATTCAATATGTGAGGCATGACGTTAAATATCACGGAGCAGACAGGTGAGCTGCAAGTACGTCACAGCATGTGCTTTTTACTGATCCATCAACAGAGGGAAAGTATTCATTTCTACTGATGCCAAAAACCACAGCTGTGTGATAAGCAATATGCCATGAATAATAAGTCAATGACGAGTAATGTCGTACCATACAGTAACAATACTTGGTTACACCATCACAAGCAAGGATAAATAAACAAAAACATTAAAAAGGCACACAGACTGTAGAAGCTCACTGTAACGCCTTTACCTCTCCAATGGTGTCGCTGACATACTGGTCAATAGCATTAGCCATCTCCGCTCGCTTCACACCGCTGCGAAACTTCATGCTGAGGACACGAGGGTGGTGTCTCAGCCACCAGTTATCGGCTTTATCTCCAGCCAGCCGGGTGCAGTGGATACGAGACTGCTGACCTGCACCAATACCAATCACCTGTAAATACAAAGAGGAGAGAGAGGAAGCATGAAAGGATCAACCGGGTCAGTCTCACCTTCTACCTGCCTTTTCTTACCTGTCCGTCTTTAGCATAGCAGACAGAGTTGGACTGGGTGTACTTGACAGCGATGGTGGCCACAGTGAGATCTCGCACAGCTTCTTCAGACAGCTTTTGGACACAAAAACAATCAAAGAATGAAACCATATGAACTGACACGGTGAGAGAAGCACTGAATAAAACAGAAAAATCAATTAACTGGAGACTCACCGAGCCTTTGGACACAACGTTACTGAAGAACTCCTTGTTGATGAGCCCCGTGTTCCTCTTTTGTTTGAGATAGAGACCGAACAACACCCTCACCTCAGTCTCATCGGGCTCATAGTCTGGATCCATCTGAGACAAACGACAGACAGACGTTGAAAATCAAACAGCAAACTAAACTGTGATTTTAATCAAAAACTGTCTGAATTATAGAAGTTTCTCACCTGAAGGACACAGTAGTTGCCGTTCTTCTTCTTAGACAGGATCTTGAGAGCCTCCTCATCGTAACCAGGGGCGATGATGCCATCAGACACCTGAGAGACACCAAATTGATTATAAGGATTCACATCAATAAATCTCTTAAAAATGAGTAAAAATTTAGTGAGGGGAATAAAAGGCAGTTATTTGACAAACTATTTTACCTCTCTTGAAATAATCTTGGCAGTGGGAACATCACACACATCTGATACAGCAATGAAGTCTCCGAAAGAAGACATCCTGTCTGACCCTGTAAACATAAATGTAGAGCGAGTTACAACCTCTTGTAAAAACATTTGTAATGCTCCTTTTTTTCTGTGATCAAGTTTAACTGACTCTTACCTCTCGCCCTGGCATACGCAGTAGCAAGTGGGGTGAGATCGCTCAGCATGTCATGCACCATGCACACTTTCGCTTCCTCCTCAGTCAGAGGAACCCCGACAGCAGCTCCTGCAGAGGAAAAGGAGAGAAAACTGAGTCATTTTCACTCTATAAACATCTACTTCTCAGAACATTTCACATTTATTCTGTTTCAGTGGAAGTTAATCTGTCTCTTTGGTCTTACCAGCAGGGCTGACATGTTTGAAGGAGGTGGCAGCAGCCATACCGAGGGCGCTCTTGAGTTCTCGGACCAGCTGCCAGGCATTCAGGGCATCACAAAGGTTAATGAAGCCGGGTGAGCCGTTAACCACTGAGGGAGGGTATTTAGGGAGAGCGAGCAAAATGCAGCAAGAATTAACAAGTAAAATATCTAAAAATTACACCCCATGACCCCTAATCTTAAAATCTGAAAAACTAAAAGATGAGGTGCTGTCCAGCAAAGTCTTTTTAGAGATATTAACACAGTAAAATACACCAAACAGTCCGACTGTTTTAAGGTGATCAAATCTCACTACTAATGCCTCTAAAGCTCACTTACTAATGTTATTTTATTCTGAACAAAAACAGCAGATGTTGCAGTTTTATCCAACTTTCCACCAAAACTTCTGCCTGAAGGTAAATAAACATATTTTCTTGAATATTAACCTTATCTTATCAACAAAATTTACATGAGGACACTGATGCTCAGGTCAACCAAAAACATATTTATCTAATGTTTGTTCACCTTTAAGGGGCAGTGTTGGGCGCAGGGTGTAGATCTGTGCAGGAGCTTGGTGAGGATTCATGCCGTAGCGCAGAGGCAGCTGGGAAACACCCCGACTGTACTGACCCCGGAAGTAGTCTGATATGGCCTCATCATACTGCGCTGTGTGTGTGAAAGCCTGAATAACGAATTACACAATCGAGATGAAATAAAATGTGAAACATACACCAAAACTCTGAACTTACTTGAAGATTTTGAATTTTAAATTTTGACTTAATCTGCATTATTTTTCCACAATCACCTCAAAGCACTGCAACCAAACTATCCCTTCAGCCAGTCTACAAGGTGAAAGTTCAGGTTGTCAAACGCTGAACTCTGTGACCTTTACATTCATATCAATATTTGTGTGACCTACATTGGACTTTGCCTAAAAGAGTCAATGCAAGACAAACAACAAAACTAAAACAAGATAATAAAGATCCTGCTTTAAATCAGTGCTGAGACAGACACAATCTGATGGCATTTGAGGAGAATCACTGAAACTCAGTGCTTTAACTCACATTGATCATGTTGGCTGACTTCTGCCTGACTGACCCTTATTTGCTTCAATAAAATCAAACAGTATGGGTTACTATTGAGCAACTTTTGTTTAGAGTAATGCAGATACAGCCAAAAAGTAAAGACAATAATTCATCTCTGGTTTCAAACTCTAATTGTACATAAATAAGATGTCTGAAAAAAATCTAAACAGAGATTTTATCTAAGGAAGTTAAATTAAAAAAACGTGACAAGGCCCTCTAATTGTATGTGAGTAAAACATTACAGAGAGGCACTTTCAACATGGACCTACTTCTCTGAGCACAAATCAGAAAGCTCAGTCTAAAAATGCTTCTCTTCGTGTGCTTGCAAGTTAAATGTTGTGGGTTACTTTTAGAGCCAGAGTCCTGCGTGTTTCCAAGTTTGTGTCTTTGTCTCCTGAATCCGCCATCTCCTTGGCAACCAGAGAATAATCGGCAGGATCACACACAATGGTGACTCGAGCGTGGTTCTTAGCTGCTGCTCTCAACAGAGTTACACCGCCTGAGAACGAAGAAAGGAAACTTTCAAGAGCAGGATTTTTGACAAACAAGTATACCAGTTTTTGGAAATTCTGCTCAACCAGCTGTTATTTAACTTCAGCCCATGACTCTAAACCTGCATTCACACAGTTTCATCTGTGAAGCTCACCGATGTCGATCTGCTCCACTGCATCTTCAACTGTAACATTTGGGTTGGAGACAGTCTTAACAAATGGGTAGAGGTTGCAGACCACCACTCTGAAAGAGAAAAGAGAGACAGCGTTGAAGTTTTCATAAAGATCGCATCTTTAATGAGACACATTAAAATCATGAAGGCTAAAATCCAGGTCAGGTAAGAGGCCAGCAGTGCAGTTTCTGTCTTTCATGCTCGTGACCTTTCAGATTGAACCAATTAAAAGAGAGAAGGAAAACGTATCTAATCTCTTTCAAGCTCCCAAACAGAAGACTCCTGACTCTAATTCTGCGAAAAAGGATTCCAATTATCACTTTACTCTCATCTGCTCCTCTACGGAGAACAAACAGCAGCATTCTCTGTCTCATAATCCATCTGCTTCAGCTGTAATCATCTCCATTCATCAGTCTCCATTATTCTCTCAGGTCTGAAAAAGTAAATCAGTCAAGAACCCAGTGAGGCTAAAATATATATTTTTTTTAAAGACAGAAAGCAGTAACTATTTAATTATTAATTACATGTAGTTAAATGATCCGATCACACTGGCCTTAAACAAATGAGAGTCACAAGATGGTGTTTCAAGCAGGAGCAGCACTTTTCTAATTATCCACCGCACCGTGTTTCCTAATGGCACACAACAAGTTTGCAATCCACCACCGTCATGTGTGCGCTTTTGTTCAGATTGTCCCTGTAATAATACATTTTTTGTCAGCTTTCCTCCCCGTTTAAAAACTGTGTTTAAATATCTAAAATGTCTGTCATATTTGGGATTTCTGTGTGTTCAAATTCATCAAATGCTTTTTTTTTTTCTACTTCCACTACCTGACCAGACTGTAGCCCAACTTCTCCATGTCTGCTGAGTCGGTAGGAGTTTTCCTGGCCAGGATGCCCCCGTGGACCGCAGGGTGGAGGGTCTTTACTCTGCCCCCCAACATCTCTGGATGTCCGGTCAGCTCAGACACATCCCTGAAACATGAGCACAGACATTGACGGTTTAAAGTTTGATGTGCACAAGCATTTTGCAAGGAGATCTCTTCGTGTTAAGGGACACAAATGCCACAAAAAAAAACAAAACTGGAACCCACTTAATTGACTTAGAGGCTACATTTACATGGATCTGTCAAGGTGTTTTGGTGCAATAACAAAAAACAAACAAAAAAAAAATGTGTGCAATAATGTTTTAGTGCAATAACAAAAAACAAACAAACAAATAAAGCTAGAAAAAGAAAAACATTAAACATTATCCTTAGATTTAAAGAGTTAGCAGTGCATGAAATACTAAAAAATGAATGAATTAAACAACCAAAGCAGTGAAACACTGCTAAAATATGAATAAAGTTACAATATTAATCAATTTAACATTGTTCAACACTGTGAAAGGGAACATTTTATTGCATTGACAGTAATTTTGCTGGAAAAACTTGCTCCTTTTTTCCCTGGTACAGTTTTTAATGAAGGGTACTTTGTTTTGAGGTTTTTAGAGTCGTTTTAAGAATAAAGCTGTAACCCACTTTATTGACTTAGAGGCTACATTTACATGAACTTGTCATGGTGTTTTAGTGCATAAACTAAAAAACAAACAAAAAGAACTAGAAAAGGAAAAAAGTATGCATTACCTTTGGTGTAAAGAGTTAACAGTGCATGATATACTAAAAATTGGATGAATTGAACAACCAAAGCAGTGAAACACTGCTTAAATGTTGCAAAATTAATCAATTAAACATTATTTAACACAGTGAAAGGGAACACTTTATTTTAATTTTGCTCCTTTTTGCCCTGGTACAGTTTTGACTGAAGGGCACTTGGTTTTGAAGTTTTCCAGAGTCGTTTTAAGAATCAACTTTTAAACCAAAGTTTTGGTCTGAATGTTTTTCCACCATCGTCCAGGTCAGGACTCTCTCAGCAGAACCCACCTGACTGCCAGTTTAGCATCTCGCAGGGCTTTAGCTGTGCCACCTGAGGCCACCAGAGACAGACCCACATCCACCAGCTTTTTAGCGAAGTCCACCAGTCCAGTTTTGTCAGACACACTCAGAAGTGCTGCGAGGACACAAAGAAAGATAGTTAACAAACTTTAAACGGATTCAGACAGTCATAAAACATCAGTGAAAGGACGGTTTATCGAGGGGAAGAGGACCACGTTGGCTAATGTTAGCTGTAGCTAGCATCCTGTATTTCGCAATGTAAAACTTTATAACAACGAAGTGAATGAATTAAATGTGAATAAAAAGTCTCACCGAGCTCTGAAGACGCCATGTTTGCTACAGTCACAGTGTTGGTCTGCAGTGAGTCTGGATGTCAGAGGAGGGTTCAACTCGGACTGGAGCAGGTTCAGATTTGGACCCTGTGCAGAAACAGACAGAGGAGGCTGAGTCTAACAAAGTTTGCACAGGCAGACAGTCAGCTTCATCATGTGCTTCAAAACTGGAAAAGTCCCGCCCTGCTGAGGCTGGCCCGCCCCGAACTCACAAAAACACTGGAGAGCTGCAACAGCGCGCAGAAAATGCGCATATTTATACAAAAAACCTACGAGATTAACGACTTGAACTGTTTACTACGGTGGCCGAGAACCGCCACTGCTGCAAATAAAAAGAAGAATGAAAAAAAAGGGACTCACAACTTAAGTTACCAATACAAAAAAAAAGAAAAAAGAAAGAAAGAAAGAAAGAAAGAAAGAAAGAAAGAAAGAAAGAAACCGAAGCCCGCTGCAAATAAAAAAAGAAACAGTGCAGATAAAAAAAAGCCCCAACAAACGTTAACGACTCACAAAAACAGTGGTGATGCAAAAAAAAAAAAAAAAAAAAGAAAAAAACTTACTGTGAAAATAAAAGGATGCAAAATAAATACATAAATTTTAAAAAGCCACAACAAAAGTTAACAACACACAAAAACAGTGGTGATGCAAAAAAAATAAATAAATAAAAAGCCACAATGAAAGTGCCCTGCCGGGGACCAATAATGATGATGCACAAGTGTTTTACGATCTAGGCACAGAAGATGACGGCAAGAAGACGAGCAAAGAAGTAAGTCGAAAGGTTATTGTTTAATTTCACCACTTTGTGTGTGTGTGTGTGTGTGTGTGTGTGTGTGTGTGTGTGTGGGGGGGGGGGGGGGCGTTAACTTCTGTTGTGGCTTTTTTTCCCCCTTTTTATCTGCACCGTTTCTTTTTTTATTTGCAGCAGGCTTTGGTTTCTTTTTTTGGCATCGGTAACTTCCGTTGTGACTTCTTTTTTTGCATTATTTTTTTATTTGCAGCAGTGGCAGTGGCAGTTCTCGGCCACCATACCTACCCCTCTCTATTCATCAAGGCACGACTAGATCTATTTAGAGGGACCTTGACCCAGAAGTTGGTAGGGTTTCAGAGACTCTATATAATGTCCACATATATGTAAAAGTTGATATCTAAAATCCCCAAATAAATGACGTGATATCATTGCATAATTATTATCCACAAAAATAAAAAAATATATATTTATTTTTTATCCTTTTTGAAACTAAAAAAATGCAATTCCTTAATTTTGTAACTTGTATATATTTTTTACGATATGATAAAAATGAGTCAGGCTGTAACACTTATATTTCTTATTAAAAAATGTAGTTTTTTATGCAGATAGAATACCTTGTTTCTATGGTACACTGCACAATCATCAAATGAGTTTTACTGATCAATAAAAGGCTACTGTCAACTAAAATCGAAGATCAACAATTGGAGAGATATTTTAGATTGCCACTAGAGGGCAGACGTAAACCTTGTTCCTGGTGAATGTGATCCATGATTCATATACAGTAGTCTATGGTCTGAACCTGAACCACAGACTGTGTGATACAGCTCTTAAGGTTTTTGCCTCCTTTTTATATCTGTAGAGACAGATGTTATTGGGTATGGTGGCCCGGTGGGTCAAAAGTATAAATATTTCAAGACAAAAACAAAACAACAACAACAAAAACACACTGAACACAAAAAATATTTCATAAAATGCAAAAATATTTAAAAAAAAAAGAAAATATTGTTGAAATACATCCATTTTTTTATTTAAAAAAATAATGAAAACAAAAACAGAATAATATTTTGGGTTGGATGTGATGTAATTCCAAGCTTTGACATGCAACCTCTGAGAACCAAACCATTAAAGATAGCTAACCATTAAAGGTTGTTTATATTTTTTAGGTTCAAAATATATAATTTGCTTACTAAATTAACCTATGATCAAATCTAAGGTGAGGAATTGATATTGGAAAACTAAAATATTGACAGTTTTACAGAGTTAAACATCTTAATATAAATTTACTATGGTATAATTTGGGTTTAGAGGCTTCATAAACTTCAGCTAGCAGTTTGCTTTTTAATGTCTGTATCACTGTGTGGAGAATTTTTGTGTCTTGTGAAATATTCAAATATTTTATGAAACATGTTGGCATTTTTTGGGATGTTTTTCATGCAAACTTAAATGTTATTTGCTGCCACCAACCCTCAGGGCCTCTGTATTGGCCTACTGTAGATACAAATCACATTTTTTGGTCATGAATAGCCAGAAACAGGCACATTTTAGCTCAGCGTTATTAACTTCTGGTCACAAAGTAAGTCTGTAAAGTTCTGTGTCTCAGTCACAGCCCAACTATCTCTGAATTTTGCTGTTTTTCCTGTAATTGCTGTGGTAAATACAAAGGTTTTGTTTAAATGATTTTCTGAATCTCGGCTGCTCTTTGGTGTGCTAATTTCAATATGAAAGCCTCTAAAAATCTGAAGACTCTTTAAGTTTTCTGCATTTCACCAACAATAACGTGAGGCGGACTAAAGCGTTAGTGTGTTTTTCTTTTGTCACATTAAATCTTGTCAGCAGAATTGAAGGTTACACTGACACCATGGAGGACCACAAATATCATCTCCACACACTGTTATTGGTAAAACACCTGTACCAGACATTTCCTGCAACAATAAATGACGCCCAACACATACATCCCCAACATACCACACCTTTTTCAATAAACTTTATTGGCAAGAAACTGAGCCTTTTTCTATGCTTTGGAACAGTGTTTTAAGTCAGACAGATGTGAATTTATTGGGTCCCGTCACTCACTTCCTTACTCCCCCATTAGTTAAGTGACAGGACAGGGCTCTGGAAACCTGCACCAGTGGGTGTGATTACGTTAAAAGATCGCACAATCTGTTCATATTTACGTAATGAGGCCGACATTTTGCTGATTGATTAAACTACAGGGTATAAATTTTTTAAGGGCTGCCTGATTTATGATCCAACAAAGCAAAAAGAGGCCGATTTATTTGTCTAACTATGAAAATGGGAGTTTCTGGTAACAGCTGACATCTCAGAGGTGACTTGAGTGATTCAATAGACAGTGAAACATCTTTATAGAAACACACTGCCTCACTATGCATTATTGGCTAAAACAGGACACAAGCAGGACGGCTGTCAGCACTTTAGTCCGGCTGAAACCTGACAGCATTATCCGCAGTATAACTGTAATTTACACAAGATATTTTTAATCAACATGACGAGTGCATTCAGATTAAATTAGAGGAGAAACAGAATCAACGACCTCCATATATTGCTGCACTACCTTATCAATTAGCTGTGATTTTTGTACTGTGTCAGAGGGGCCTGTGTCATAAAACAGACCTAGTGGCATTTGTCACACAGCTGACAAGTCACACAACTAAATGAGCTCCTATTGATTCGCATGATTTTTCATCAGCCAAATTAAAAGCTGCAGTTTGATAGAGGTTCAGTCTGAAGGCTTGTTATGGATTCTGCTCGCTTCATTAAATCAAGTCTGGAAAGTTCGGTGAAAAATTCCTCAAGGTCTTTTAAGTTAAATGTGTGACTAGGAGTCTTAATTTGCTGGATTGTGCAGGTTGTTCAGTCAATATTGTGCCTACAAACTGCATTTTTGGCCCTTGGACTGCAAACAGTTGAAGTCTCTTTGAGATGTTGCTCCATAATCTGCAACCCATAAAATTTTGTGACCTTCAGATTAAATTGAATCGAGATAAAGCTCATGTGGAGATATTTTTACATTTATAAAATAGATGAAAATCTATATTAATGTTGTTTTATGAAACACAAAAGCAAACAAGATCATAAGCACCAAGAAAAACAATTCTTATGTTTTGATTTTTATTGCCTGAAAACAGGGTGGGGGGTTGGTGTCAACAGTTCAACCGAGGAAACAGCCTTGTTTTTAGTATTTCAGCATTAAGTATCAACTGTGAATGATACATGTAACTGTCAAAAGTCAGCGGACTGGGATTATTTTTGTGAGATAACACTTCTGATATAAGAGCATGCTAAGTAAAGACTAGTTTGTCCGCATGAGGTGCCAAAATTGACACAAACCAAAAGTTGCTCAGTGCTGCTGGAAAGTTGGATGTAGACATACGGTGATCTCTATGAGTGAGGCTTTTAAAAAGAGGACAACTAAACCACAAGACTATTTAGATATTGCCTTATTTATTTGTATTTGGTTGCTGTTTAGATGTAACTGCTGTCATAAACTTCATAAAGATGCTCAAGAGTGGTACTTTTTATCTGTTTACTTGGATGTTTGGACATCTGTTTGGAAGCCAGAGTAAGCTTCATGGGAAAACAGGAGTTAGCTGTTGGGTCAAATCTTCAGCTGGAGCTGTTTTTATCTCTGACTCTGCAGGACCATCAACACGACAGGAGGGATATATCTAATTTCTACTATACAAGTATTTTCTTATTTCCTGGAGAGGCCATAAGACCATCACAGATCTACTGTATTTATGATAAATTTTAGATCAATCACTTTAGTTATTCTGTGAGAGCAGAATGCTTTCTTCACCTTAAAAACTAAATACTATGAGAAGCTTAGTTTTTCTCAATTTGGACCAGGGTCTGGATTAAGTTTCGGGAACATTTCTGAGTCCAAAATTCCTCATTTATGCTGAGTGCAATAGTGCAGTGACTTTGTGGGCGGGGCTTTGAGTTGTGGTTATTTCTGATTGGTCCACCTGCTTTGCTTTAATCCTGCCTCAAGAAGATTTTCAGACACAAACAATTGTGTTAGGTTTCCAATTCCTGTTGTGCAAGGTGAGGCATTTTATTGTTGTAAGAAGGGCAGTTGATCTCTCAAATATTGCCGTACCACTTCAGGCACTGATGGACTCATATTTCCTTGAAAAGCCACTCCTAAAGTTCCTGCTGCAGGCGTGGAGTCACTTTTAAAGATTCAGATTCTGCCTGTAAACACCTTCAGTATTTCTATTGTTGCACCTCCCTGCTCCAAAGATTTCATCTCCACTAAAGAGACCTGTGTCCGTCCAGCTAGTTAAAACTGCATTTAATCCCTCTGTAAACATGTGACTGTGCTCTGACAGGGGCCTAAATGACACCAATACTGTGTGTCCTCCAGTCTGCTCTTTAATCACAACCCTGTACACATGGCTGCCCTATAAAAGGCCCTGCTGCACCCACACACACCCATCATGCTGTTGCTCTTGGAAATGAAAATGAAAATGGCCCTGTGTGACATCAGCATCAGGCTTTTGATCGCTTTACTTCCTCTTCATTAACTTAATTATTTGGCCATCAGTAAACCTCACCGAGTAATTAATTCCTGAGAGTTTTTGTAATAAATTCAAACTGTTAAATGACCGAGAGTTGCTCTTGCTTTGCTTCCCGAGCACAGTGTGGTGACTGTGAATGATAAGGAAGTAGCTGAAGGGGATGTGAACTCTTTTTTCAGTATGTGGGATTGTTCATGACACCACAGTCTGTAAATTAAGTGAACCTTTATATTTCAAACGTCTGATCTAGACTCACAAAGCCATCAATGAACTGTTGGTCACTTTAGTTTTTAGATTCAAATATACAAATATATGGATTTTTATGATATTGTTTCCAGACATTCATAGTCTCCAGAGGATGTTGATGACTTCTAAAATGATCCCAAAGCAAGCAGCAAAATCTGGTATTAAATAAAATCAAGCCAATGCAGAAGATCTAATGAAATCCAAACACGGTTTTGGTTTGTCTCATTTGTTTCATGATTTTTTTTCCATTTAACATGATTATATCTTTATTCTATTAAGGCTAAGAGGTATGCATATATTTGCAGGTGTGTGATGAGAATTTTCCTCCAGTTTCTTTATGTGAGGAGTTTTTCGCTTATTATAAAAAAGACAGAAAATGAGAGCAATGCCTTTATATGACCCACAAAAGCAAATCAGACCATCCTCCACAAAAATGACAATTCTCTGTGACTGCTGCAAGGAGGGAGGCGTAAGAGCAGAAGATCCACAGAACGCTGAATAAACGACTTTTTCTCCTTTTTTCCACACCATGCATGGGGATGTGAAAAAAAGAGCAGGATGACATTTTTAGCCGATAAACACAATGAACATGCAACAAGATCAGCAAGGTCATGTTTTGTCCACAGGGGGCGCCAAAGTTGATTCAAACAGAAAATTCCTCTCAGGGAATCAAATGAAATTATTTTTGGAGGATAGCAACAAAAAATCAGCAAAGGTTTTTTCATCAGCTGTATTTTTCTCTTAAGGTTTTTTAGCTTATTCTAGTTTACAAGCATACAGTACATAACTGATGCTGTAAATGGCAAATGTTGTTTATGTGAGATATCCTCATTTTAGCATGCTGATATGCTAAATTTTTAAATGTGTGGACTTTTTATTCTTGTCTTTCCGTTTTAAAAGAATTTTAGGCAAACAGCAAGACAACTTCATTCAACTTGTGAAAAAATAAACATAAATTGTTCAAGAAGTAATTCATTCTTCAGCTTTTTTAATTCTCGTAGTCATCATTTCTTTTTATTTCACAGTTCCACCACTGACAAGTTGAAGATAAATACACATACGATTCATCTTTGCAATCATTCAAATAAATTAAGTTCATTTAGTGAGTGAACGAATTCATAAACAACATTTAGAACAAATAAAAAACATCAATATTCACATTAAAACACAGAATATCCTGAAAAGTAACATCCAGGGGAGCAGGTGTGTTTAAAGCACGACACTTCACAGCTTCATCTGCTCTGACTTTATCGTCTTTAAGATGCAGCAGGATCTGCATCGACTCTACAACCTAACGCTGTCTGAATGCACAACAGTTCACCTGCCTTCTTGGTTCTCTGCATGTGGGTAAATAAGAACAGCTTACTATAGAGAGGAGAGAGAGACTTTACTCAGCATGCTACAAAAATGTACAGTACTTAGAGGTGACTTTTCACAGAGAGTTTATACAGTATATTTCTGCGATCCAAGAAGAAGTCTGTTCAGAGAGCAGCCCAGAACCATATCTTGTCTTTTTTTCATGTCCACAAACACAGACATGTCCCGTTTAAATGTCTCCTAAAATCCTGTGTGAGCATCTTTCTGTGTCTTTTCACAGTCCGGCTCCGATCTTCCGGTCACCTCCTCCTCCCTGCACCCCCTCCAGCTCAGAGTCATCAGAGAACGGGCTGTGGGGATTGTAGCCGACATCTGTGTTATGCTGCAAGAAGTCTATGGATTGTTGTATCCCAACCCCATTACCCAAAGAAACAGGATAATCACTCTGAGCACCCTCCTCATCTACCTCCTCCTCATCCTCATCATCGTCCTCTTCCTCTCCATCATCCAGATCAAGGTCTATCCCTCTGTCGTCTGGGTTTACAGCTCGTCTGCTGTCATCAGATTTGTCTTTGGTTGTTTTTCCAGCACTGCGAAGCCGCTGAGTCTCAGACTGGGCTGAGGCAGTCGCCTGCTCCTTCGCCTTCCTGCTGCGTTTCCACTTCATCCTCCGATTCTGGAACCAGATCTTCACCTTCAGAGAAAGACAGGAGAGGTCAGGAAAAGAAATGAGATGCAGTCCGGACAAGTTTGTCAGGATTTTTTTTAGTTTTTGAGACAAGAATTTGCAGCCATTGAGCAGAGGTGATTTCAAGAAGTCTTTGTCTGTGTTTATATTTATGTATCCCTGTCTTTGAGGAGAGAGTCCTTCATGTTTCTCTCACTGAAGGTTTCACTTTTTTTCCAAAGGTGTGCTGGAAAAACATTCAGAAAAGAAAAGCTATAATAATAAGCTAAAGAAATGAACTTGACTTAAGTATTGTTGACAAAAAAAAATCTGTAAATGTATGCACACACATTTAATTTCACTAACACCAAAGATCAAACAGCTTGTGCCCATAACTTGTTCTACTTGCAGCTTCCTTTTTTTCATGCAAAATACAATAAATCTTCATGAAGTTGGTTTTAGAAATTTTGAGTTTTATCATCATTTGTGGTTAAATTTTATCTGATAAGGAGATAAAACTGCCAAAGTTCTGAATAAAATATTGGCAGAAATCACATAAATCTTGTTTAATCTAACAAAGAAAAGAAGCAAAGACACTGAAATGCACGCAAGTCTGCAGGTATTTAGAAGATCGATTCACAGTCCGGACTACAGAAACAGTCACAAATGTGTGATTTTACCATAACGTTGAAAAGTAAAACACGCTGTTGTTAAAAATTAAACACATCACAGTGAAACTTTATGTTTAGGAGAATATAAATGATGTTTCTCACAGATTAGTTTGACCAGATTTGAGACTCAGTCAGTCTGTCCAGTGCACTTTATGTCTTTTATGATGTTTCAAGTATATCTCCTTTTTTTCCTCAGTTTGAACACACTTAAAAATTCTGTTTTAAGGCACATCTTTCAGATTTGGTCTTTTAAATTTTGCTGTAGCTCTTTTGTTGGTGTGTTTCTATTTTAAGGTGAAGGTTATCACTATAGAAAAGTGTCTGGTTTTAAAAAGGCTCATCTTTAATGTGACTGTCATCTTAGACTGAATAAAAGCTGATATCTTTAATGTGGATCTTTTGTTTCTGCGCCTCTTACCTGAGTCTCAGTCAGCATGAGTGAGGTGGCCACCTCGAAGCGCTTGGGTCTGGACAGGTACTTGTTGAGTTTAAACTGGTTTTCCAACTCCAGCAGCTGTTGACTGGTGAAGGCAGTGCGGGGCCTCCGACACTTCCCCAATAGACCAGACTGAGGGCCCGCTGCAGAAGGATGAAGAGCAAAATCATCTTCAGTCTTTGTGTCAAATAAAGGGGTATGCCACACGTTTAAAGCATTTAAAGTCTGTAACATGTACTGCTTTTATGAATGACATTTATTTCATGTTTATTTTCAGCACCTTACAGATTCAAATGTTTTAATCTTCACACACAATATCTGAATATTTCAGGGATGTATATTTATTTACAGACTACTCAACATAAATATCAGGGATTTATAGGAAATTCACAACTTACAGTCTGAAATATTTGGCCCCCACGCAGCTTTATGATACAGTATATCTTTCTATAAGTACTCCAAGGACACAGGAAGTTGAGTGTGTTTTGTGGGTTGGAACAGGCGCACATATGGCCGCACTCTCGGGCCATCATTAACTATAATAGCTTTACTCCAGTTTATTGTTGACGGGGGGGACACGGCAGAAGCGGGCGCAGGGGCCATAAAAACACAGGCATGCCATTAACTTAATGAAAATTCAATGAAGGCTTTGGGGATTTTATTGATGAACTACAGAACGGTTTAGGTGTTTGTTTATAGTTTCTTCATCGCACAAAGACAATTTTCATCCGGCTGGCGTTTATAGAGAAATAAATGGGCCGAAATTAAAATATGACACTGAGACAGTGTGCAGTAAACACAGAGCAGTGTGTGCAGGGTGGCTCTTTTAGAAACTGAATAAACATAGTATTAAAGGATACATCATTTCTTTACATAAAGAAAAAATCATACAAGACATAGCCTGGACTGAAAATAAACACAGCAGTGGTGGAAAAATGTATATATGACAGAGTCATTCTCAAGTCAAAGAAACAATAAAGCCTGTTTGTGGTGTCTGGCATTAGACAGGCCCAAGTGAGAGTGAAAAGTAATGTATTAAAAAAATTAAAGTTGCAAAATAAAAAAGTAGTAGGCTTTAATGTAGGCCATATGATTGGAAAAACAAGGCCTAAATAAGTGACATTATTTATAATAATTAAAACAAGAGAAGGTAGTAATTGACCAAAATAAATAATATTTAGAGTTCAAGTCGAAGTGTTAAACAGTAGTTTAAATAGTAACAGAAAAAAATCTACAATATCATAATAATAATAATAACAATAATAATAGGTTTTAAATGGGTTCAGTTGCTCATGAGTGAACTCGTTTGCCTATCAGTGTTTGTGTTCAGTGAGTTTTATAGTCTCTGCGGTTCAGTCCTCAGAAGTTAAACAACCTGATTAAACCTAACAGTAAAAAAACTGATAACAGAAAACTCTCTATGAACAGAACAGATTAAGTAAGAATTTGAATGATTTATTTAAAAATAATCAAATAAAGACAAAGGTATGTATCTAATCACTGGATGAGTCTATACTTACTGTTGTAATCCGGCAGTCTTGGCATCATGATCCCGGCTCGGATCCAGTGCTCCAGCGGCAGAGACCCCGCCATGGCCGCAGCCTTCAGGTGCTCCGGGTAGGTCTGTGTCAGCTGCGTGAACCCGGTGTAAGCGAACGCGGGGTGCTGACCACCCAGCGCCGATAAAGGGTACATGGGTGCCGGATACATGCCGGGGATTGCAGCGAGTCCTGGGTGAGGGAGATTTAGCACACCCGGTTTGGGGATTATTCCGGTCTGAAGTTGCACAGCAGTCCGCGGAGAAGGGGTGTCCGCGCGACGGCACGAGACCGGGCTGCCTGCGGGGCTGTCGCTGCTCAGACCCGGGGAGAGGTCTCTGCTGCTGCCCCGGTTGGTCTCATCGGCGAGCAGGGCGTCGATTCTGAAGTTTCTGGACTTCTCCATGAGGGGCTGTGGACGGGCTGCTGCAGAACCTCTAAGCTCGGATCGTGCGCACCTGTGCCGTGCGTCAGCGCGCGGACAACACTCACAAACTCATATGTTTTTATCTTTTCTTAAAAATTATCTTCAGCATCAGTTTTTCACTTACTCCTGACTATAACCTATATGTTTTCACCTGCACCTCTCTCCACCTGTTTCGTTAAATCGCACCCGCGCATGTCACCCTGCAACATCGCACCCGTCCTGATGTTTAACACCAACTTCCCAGAAGATGCCTGACTCCATCAGCTGTCCCCCTCCACCCCTGCAGGCCGTTGGGAGCTGATTGGCTGCAGGCTGGGCTGCTCTGACGGGCCTCTAATCAGCTAATTACTCGCTCGTTTCTCCCCCCAGAAGGCATTCAGAGTGAGGTAATGTCCAACCCCTGTCCCGCCTGCAAACACCTTCAACTGCATCAAAGCACCGTGGTACATTAGAAGATTAGCCAATTGTATTTTCAGTATCTATCTTACTGCCAGCTCCTCAGACTCTCGGTAGATTGCGGATACCTTTACCATAAACAAGGAATTATTTACACTCTGCTCTGACTGCTGGAAATACTTACTGAGGCTTAAAACTGCCTGAACACCTGATCAAACCCTGGCTGTGTCCCCTCTGTTTTTTAGAGGGTCAGAGATAGATTGGCAAAAAGGAGATATTTATATAATTTATAGTCATTTGTATTAATGAGTCGGTACATCCTCATGCTGAGATGCTGTTAAAGTTTACAACCAAGAATTGGGAAAAAACTGTTGATAAGCGTAAAGAGTTGGCAGATGAAGCTGTACATTAATTAGTCTTTTGCGCAAGGTAAATAGATGCCATTTTCTAGTGAAGGACAGAGTGAAGTTCTTCGTAAGAAAGCCATAGTTTGTCACTTCAAATTAAACAGAAAAGTGCTTTAAAACGCTGACTGTCAAGACCAAAATCCATCAAACAAAGACCTCCAACGAGTGGTCAACCAATGCAGTGGCCATTATATGAGCGAGCAGGTTGGCAGTTGTCTGATACATAATTACCTTTTTGTTTTATTTTAAAATACAATAAATTTTGACCTCATGTGAACGTTTAATTAGGGTTAATAAATGTAGACAACTTGGCTTAGTAGTGAATTATTGGCCCAGATGGAAGCTGGAGAGCTGGACAACTGTTCATCTGATACAAGAAAGACAAAAATTAAGAGGGTATTCTTATCAAAATACATTATTCTGAACACCATAGACAGTGGTTTAAGATCTGACTTCAGAAAGATAATGGTGATATCGGCCTTATGCTGCAGCGACTGATTAATCGGTCTACGTCTCCCCAAAATAAAGAAAAATAATGTAACACAAAAGTCAATAGAAACTTCACTGTAAAAAAAGTCTTTTTAAAAAAAATTATTCCCACAAATGTCTAAATTGTGTTTCTGAGACTCACATTGTTAAGGTGGAAATTTCATCCTCATGTTAAAAATATGCTGAGAACGAAAATAGGCCCACACTTACCCTAAAATCTGTGTTCAGACTGTATTTAATTGTATTTAATTTCTGCAAACCGGATGATTTAGTTTGACTGGCTCAACTGAAATTAATGTTCGACTCGTTTTTATTTAAGCGAAATAGCAAAGACATTTTGGCCCCAGTTTTTTTTTAAATATTGTCCTTTTAATTTTTGTCTTTAACACTGACCATCTTTTAGTTGTTCATCCAAACTGGTTGACAAGATCAAACATTTGAGCTGACACACACATAAAAATGAACCGGCCTCTACAACACATTGTTAAAAGTTGTTGCAGCTCAATTTAAGGGAATCATCCTAATGAATAATTTCTGATTTAGAGATTATCAGTATAATTTTGAAGAAAATTTAAGCTGTTTCATCAGTTTTTTGTGGCTTCATGGTCAATATTAAACATCAGTCAAACCCTCTGAGTATCAGATGTTTGAGGTGATTCAGAGCTTCAGTCTAATCCAGACTGCAGCTCCAGCCTCCACCCTAAAGGCCCTAAATCCTGGATCTTAGGAAATTGAAATCCATTCTGCAGGTATGAATAAAACTGAATCTCTTCGACACCCCCCACTCATAATATGTAATTGGCTGGCACGTGCGCGCGTGTGTAAGCGCGTGTAGTTGACCTCAAGAAAATTGGAGCGCTCGAGCCTCGTGTTGAACGGCCCGCCCCTCTCTCTGTCTCTTTCTCTCTCTCTTTCTCTCTCTCGTACACGGCCGTGGATGTAGAGGCGACTTGTTCCCCCCAAAATCAGAGCTCCTTTCTGTGTGCTCCACACAATGAAGTCTCCTTCCCTTGGCTTCATTAAGGTCATTTAAACACGGGGTATTCCCTCGCTGACTGCGGTGAACAAATTTAACAGCCAAACAAAATATGATGGTAGACACCATCCCAGTAGAACTTCGGCCTTGTCCCACTGAAGCAATTCACAGCCCACATACATAAGCACTGATCCATGTGGGTGAGTATGCTGGTGTAAAATTTGACTTCAAAATTTGGTGCAACCTTTATTATGGTAGAAAGGATGAATAACATGCTTTAAGTAAAGGTAATTGCTTTGTATAGATCATGTTAATTACAAAGTGCTGTTGACTCTTTCAGCTGATTCATCTGGAGCACCAAGGGCAGTATTGGTGTTTACTCCATCCTGACATGAAGATTCCATTAACAGGCTATGTCAGCAACTTTTAACAAATTTTTAACTGCATACGAATGTAGACACCTCTGTTTGGTTTGGTTGTAAAAAATAAAGCCAAAATACTGATGTAATGTAAGAACATTTATGATCATTTCTTCATGGAAATGCAATCAGAGCGAAATGCTTAGTAAGAAGAACTACCACGTCTGCAGAGCTATGATTAATATAATGTTTATTACTTCAAGGAAATGATAAAGAAATGGTCATGAATGTTCTTCACCCCACTGCAGTCTGTAAAGGACTGGCCTGAGGTCTAGCTATAAACTAGCGGCTGCTGGAAGAGAGTAGGTGAGTTGTGTTTCGTCTTTGTTAAACAAATTAGGCAAAGTTAAAAAGATGTTTGGTGGTTAGTACTATGGCTGGGACCCTATATGTACTGTTGATGAAGTTAGGTGCTGTTCTGAGCATTATTAGAGTGGCATTTTGGTTGAGGTTAGTTATGGCTCTTCAGACCGCTGTGTATTGCTATTGTGCGGTTGTTACTAAAGTTGGTATAACTAGAGAAGCAAGCAGTCGGCAGCATTCATCTCTCGAGGGGGTGTCTAACTCTGTGTTACGGTGTGTTTGACCCTAAATTATTTTACACTGAAATATCGCTTTAACGTACTCATAAGACATTTAAAATCCCTGGTAACTGAAACGCTGGCAACTCGGGTGTGACGTCATTTTCAGCTCCGACATCTGATTCTGAGGTAACTCTAAAGCAGCATTAGAAACCCATGCTGCATCCAGGGGGAGCTACAAGATTTTTGTCTTCAGTGTTTTGGAGCACTTGTCCTGTCCAGCATCTGATATAATGTGTGGCAAATATCTCAATACATCGGATAAGTAGTCACAAAGAAAATCAGGACTTTCACTTTGTACAAAATAGCATCTTAAAGAGATGATAATATGGGTTCAAGGTTGGCCACTGTGCAACAAAGTGCAGCTCTGTGAAGTAGGATGTCTCTGAAAGAAACCCAGGCAGTGTCGATGATGCTCACAATCAAGGAAATAACTGCAAATACTGCAACAGAAATTTGTTATCAGGCTGAATCGTGGCTAAAAGTTTTCTTACACTCTCACTAGAAGGTCTAGAATCTCAATCATCACCTGTCACACACGTCCTCACACGCACATGCCCTCTTGAACCCTTCGCAGAGCTCTCAAGAACCAGCACACACCCTCCAACCGTGAGAAAACAATCAGTTCAAAGAGACCGCCGGCCCTCGACGTTGACTACAAAGCCAGAGTTTATCGACGGCTTATGCGTCAGTTAAGTGAGCAGCCGACAGGAGTTTACTGAAACATTAAAGGGCTTATCAGTAATTACAGGCATATTTTTCAATCATTACCACGACTCTGAGGCTGCTCGCCTTGTCCTTAAACCAATCCAAGCAGTGCTTTTGTTGCTTTCTGTATGCCAGCTTAGTCAGCACAGTATCAGCTCCCACTGGGAAAGTGATTTATTTAACCCACTGATAAGACCCCTCGCTCTGCCTTCAGACAAGGAAGTTCAGGAGCAAGAAATAGGATGAAATCTCTACTGAAACCTTGTTAATTGTTTAAACTCCCCCTCGTTCACCTCTCTTTGTTCTTCTCTCTGCCAGTTTGAAAGGAACGTATTTTTCTATCCACTGTCAGTGATATTAGACTTAAAGGTAGATTTCCAGATGTGTTAATTATCCTGCTGGTGTAATGGTGTGTGTGTTTGCTTCTACTCTTCATTTAAGCTCTGTGTGACACATGTAGTTTTCAGGGACGCTGTCAACCAGCTACATTTTTCCCATCAGGCCTGCGGTACAGTGTCCGAGCTGCAGCTGTGATAAATGATTTAGGAGCACAATGGGCTTTCTGTGGAGTGAAAACCAGCTCTCTGTACCTCTGGTAATTAGACTAATTCCCACAAAGTTAAAGGCAAACTATAAATCAGTTTGCTAACAGCAGGACCTTGAGACCAAAATTAATGTTGTCTCATTAAGGACATAAAGGTAATTTATTAGAGTTTTACTTCTCTTCTCGGTCTCTGTACCCTGTCCCCATCATTTATTAACCAATATTGAGCTTTGCCATATGACATCTTGCCCACTGGATGTGAATCTCCTTTTGTCTGTCTTTGCTGCCGTGTCCCACTCCCCTCTTTCTCTCTCTCTCTCTTTGAGTGTTTGAGCACTTTCAGATGCTGCTGGAGAAGAGAAATAAAACTGTTTGCAGCGCCTGAAATGAGTGTAATTTACTGTTGAGTGGAAATGAGGCTTTTCCTTTGCTGCTCATTTTGACTTTTACAATAATATGCTGAAGCTGAGATTTTTTTTTATCACTGTTTTAAACTGGCCTCAGCACTCAGCACTAAAACAGTGGAACTGAAAAACTACAGTTCATCATTTGTTTAGGGAGACGACATGTTTTCACAGTGTTTGAGCAGGTTAGATGGATAGCTGCATCAATAAAATGTCAGATTTGACGAAATTTTCAACACACAGC